CTGTAATCCCAGCTGCTCGGGAGGCTGAGGAAGGAGAATTGCCTGAACCCAGGAGGTGGAAATTGCGGTGAGCCGAGATCGCGCCATTGCACTCCAGCCTGGGTAACAAGAGCGAAACTCCGTCTCAAAAAAAAAAAAAAAAAAAAAAAAAAAAGATTGTGAATTACTTGGAAAATGAGGCCAAGTATATTAAACTTCACGTCATAGAAAAAGTTACAGAATGTTTTTAAGTAAAGGAGTAACTTTATCAGTGTATTCCAGTGTAATCACCCCATAATCAGGAAGTTCTTCAAGTCTATCAAAATTCATTCTTACTTTAAGTCCTTGCCCTGTTTTAGTTCTCTGTAGTCTACTGGTGAGAAGACTTACCATATTAAACTTTCATACCATTAAGGCATATATAACACCTCCACACAATCTTACTTATCTATTTCATTACAGCCTCTCTGTACCTTTTGCTTCAGCAAGGTAAATACTCTTACAGAATTCTCATTCTTATCCCTATCCCATCTATAAATAAAATAGATTATCCCTTCCTAACTTATTTAAAAACTGCATTTAAAATCTCCTTGAAGGTGGACATGATGGCTCACGCCTGTAATCCCACCCCTTGGGAGGACTGCACCTTGGTCTCCCAAGGGATGGGATTACAGGTGTGAGCCACCATTGAGCTCAGGAATTCAAGATCAGCCTGGGCAACACAGTGAAACCCTGTGTCTGCAAAAAAAAAAAACCAAAAAGTTAGCTGGATGTGGTGGCACATGCCTGTGGCCCCAGCTATTCAAGAGCTCAGGTGAGAGGACTGCCTGAGCCGGGGAGGGCAAGGCTGTAGTGAGCCATGATCGTACCACTGCACTCCAGCTTGGGGGACAAAGCAAGACCCTGTCTAAAAAAAAAAAAAAAAAAAAAAAGACAAGGCCAGGTGTGGTGGCTCATGCCTATAATCCCAGCAATTTAGGAGGCTGAGGCGGGTGGATCATGAGGTCAGGAGATCGAGACCATCCTGGTCAACAAGGTGAAACCCCGTCTCTACTAAAAATACAAAAATTAGCTGGGCATGGTGGTACACGCCTATAGTCCCAGCTGCTCGGGAGACTGAGGCAGGAGAATTGCTTGAACCCAGAAGGCGGAGGTTGTGGTGAGCCGAGATCATGCTATTGCACTCCAGTCTGGGTAACAACAGCAAAACTCTGTCTCAAAAAAAAAAAAAAAAAAAAAAAAAGACAAATAAAATCTTGATAACACTTTCCTTAAGTGGACACTGATTCCATCACCTTCTAAGCAATCCTAGTCCCACAACACTATTACTGAAGTCTATACTGTATAGTCTTACGTATTTTTTTTGTATTTGCTAGTCTTTTTTTTTTTTGAGACAGAGTTTCGCTCTTGTTGCCCAGGCTAGAGTACAATGGCACAGTCTTGGCTCACCACAACCTCCGCTTCCCAGGTTCAAGCGATTCTCCTGCCTGAGCCTCCCGAGTAGCTGGGATTAAAGGTATGCACCACCATGCTTGGCTAACTTTTTGTGTTTTTAGTAGAGAGGAGGCTTCTCCATGTTGTTCAGGTTGGTCTCAAACTCCTGACCGCAGGTGATCTGCCTGCCTCGGCCTCCCAAAGTGCTGGGATTACAGGCATGAGCCACCACGCCCAGCCCTAGTCTGTCTTACGCCCCCATTTAGTTGTAACGTCTGTCTCATTACTGAATTTACAGTTATGTACCACATAACAACATTTTGGTCAATGATGGACCACATATGTAACAGTGCTTCTGTAAGATTATAATACAATATTTTTACTCTATTGTTTCTATGTTTAGATACACAAGGATTTACTATGGCTTTATAACTGCCTACAGTATTCAGTAGAGTAACATGCTATATAGGTTTGTAGCCTAGGAGCAGGAGGATATATCATATAACCTAGGTGTGTAGTAGGTTATATCATCTAGATTTGTGTAAATATTCTCTGTTTGCACAATGACAAAATGGCTTAGCAATGCATTTCAATACATTTCTCAGAATATACTGTCTTAATTAATGACATATGTCTGTATCTGCATAACAGCCCCCTCTGCATTCTTATCATACCATATTTGAGAGATGAGAAAAAGTGCCCTAATAATGTGAGTGAAATTACTTTTCCTCTAAGCTCCTAATATTTTCTCTAACATCTTATCAAAACTAAAAAACATAGTTTGTGACAACGTCTTACTGCTATTACTATACGAGGTACACAATAAATATTCAGTGGTTTAGGCTGGGCGCAGTGGCTCACGCCTGTAATTCCAGCACTTTGGGAGGCCAAGGCAGTGGTCGATCACCTGAGGTCAGGCGTTCGAGACCAGCCTGACCAGTATGGTGAAACCCCCATCTCTACTAAAAATACAAAAATTAGCAAGCAGGGCATGGTGGTTTGTGCCTGTAGTCCTAACTACTCCGGAGGCTGAGACAGGAGAATTGCTTGAACCCAAGAGGTGGAGGTTGCAGTGAGCCAAGATCACACCACTGTACTTCAGCCTGGGTGACAAAGCGAGACTGTTTCAAAAAAAAAAAAAAAAAAAAAAATTTCAGTGGTCTACATAAAAATTAGATGAGATACTATCAGTGTAATGCAGAGGCTAAAAACATGAGCTATGTAATCTTAATCCACAAGTGTTTTTCTTTTTTTTAGACAGAGTTTCGCTCTTGTTGCCCAGGCTGCAGTACAATGGCGCCATCTTGGCTCACCACAACCTCCGCCTCCTGGGTTCAAGCTATTCTCCTGCCTCAGCCTCCCCAGTAGCTGGGATTACAAGCATGCCCCACCACACCTGGCTAATTTTGTCTTTTTAGTAGAGACGGGGTTTCTCCATGTTGGTCAGGCTGGTCTTGAACTCCCGACCTCAGGTGATCAGCCCACCTCAGTCTCCCAAAGTGCTGGGATTACAGGCATGAGCCACTGGGCGTGGCCCAAGTTTTTATTTTTTAAAGACAAAAATGTTCACAATTTATTGTGTTCTACTTGGTGAGTCCACTACCTTTAAAAAAAAAATCATTCACTCAGACCTGTGAGAAAAAAAAATATCAACCAACTACTCATACTAGTTGCTAAGGAGAGTTGCAAAGAAAATAGAAAAAACCCCCATAATTCCTATCCTTTTTAGAATGTGTTAGTCTAACAAAATATTCAAGAAGAAAATAAATGACAAAATACAGTACATCAAATAGCAAACACACAGAAAAATGTGTAAGCAGTTGGGCACAGTGGCTTACGCCTGTAATCCCAGCAAAATGGGAGGTTGAGACAGGCAGATTGCTTGAGTCCAGGAGTTTGAGACCAGCCTGAGCAAACTGGCGAAAGGCCATTTCCATTAAAAAAAAAAAAAAAATTAGCTGGATATAGTAGTTTGCACTTGTAGTTCCAGCTACTCAGGAGGCTGAGGCGGGAGAATCACCTGAACCTAGAAGACAGTGGCTTAAAGAGAGCTGAGACTGCACCAGTGCAATGCAGCCTGGTCAACCAAAGTGAGACCCTGTCTCAAAAAAGAAAAAAGAAAACATAAGCAATTTGTTTATAAATACATCATGCAGGCCAGGCGTGGTGGCTCACACCTGTAATTCTAGCACTTTGGGAGGCTGAGATGGGTGGGTGGATCACCTGAGGTCAGGAGTTCAAGACCAGTCTGGCCAACATGGTGAAAATCTGTCTCTAGTAAAAATACAAAATTTAGCCAGGTGTGGTGGTGGGTGCCTGTAATCCCAGCTACTCAGGAGGCTGAGGCAGAAGCATTGCTTGAAACTAGGAGGCGTAGGCTACAGGGAGTTGAGATTGTGCCACTGCACTCCAGCCTGGGCGACAGAACGAGACTCTGTCTCAAAGAAAAAATATACACACACACACACGTATAAAATCAGACTTTCCATGCCAGGTTCTAAATTACCTGCATGTAGTTTTCAGGGGTTATTTTTTATTACTCTCAGGTCTACAGAGTGGTTATTATAGTCAGGAAAGAGTTCCACAATCTTGTTATTTTTTTCTACTTCCCAAATTCTGCTGACACCAATAGTGTATTTTCCTGCACGCTCACAAGCAAGAATAAAAAAGTAATCAAATACAGTTTTTCACTTTGCATTTTTTACATAACGTGTCAGGCTGTCTACCGTAACGAAAGTTCTATTTCTTTCTTTGTTAGCCTTATGCTATGAATTTATATTTCTTGCTTTACTGCACTGACTAGGACTACAAGTAAAAAGTAGAAGTGGTGGTAGCAGACATTCTGTCCATTCCCAATTACACAAGGGAAGCTTTCAGTAATTTATCATTAAGATGTTTTCTAGGGACAGCAGGGGGTAGGGAGTTGGGGAGGTATAACACTGGGGCAAATGCCAGATACAGCTGATGGGGAGGAAGGCAGCAAACCACATTGCCATGTATGTACCTATGCAACAATCTTGCAAGTTCTTTGCATTTACCCCAAAACCTGAAACGCAATAAAATATATTTTTTTAAAAAAAGATGTTTTCTATAGATTTTTTAGACAGACACTTTCGATGAGATTAAGAAAGTTCCTTTGTATTTCTAGTTTGCTAGGAGTTTTAGTCAACTGCTCTTTTCTGTATCTATCCAAGTTGCCACATGTAATTTCCCACTTTTTCCCTATTAAGGAAGATTACATTGATTAATTTAAAAATGTTAAACCAGCTTTGCATTTCTATATTAAATCGTAATTTATTACATTGTATTATACTTTTTGTATATCATCAGTGTTATTTTGTTAATGTTCTTTTGAAGATATTTGCATCTATGCTTGGGAGAAGTATCAGTCTGCAATTTTCTTTTCTGGTGATGTCTCTGTATAATTTTAATATTAAACTTCTGCTACCCTCAGGAAAAAAATACAGTATTTCTTTAACAAGGCCACGGTTACCTCTTCTATATCTTTCCTCTTTCATTATTTTCTATTCATACACAGTAGCAATTCCTCAAACCCCCACAGCAATTCTAAATCCACAACTCCATACCTGGGAGCTGGGTTGCTTAGGCTCATCCATTCTCCCAGGAGACTCACTTCTGGCTCTGTGTCTCTCTGTCAAGGGAACAACACTGCCGGAGGGGCTAAATCTGTTGGAAGAGGAACATAAAGGGGACTAATAGAAAAGCAGTGTCCAAGAACTTGAAAAATGGTCATGTCAACCCTCCTTATTCTATGGCTGAGGAAAGAACAAACCAAGCAACAGATAACTGAGAAATAGTTTCATGGAATTAATACATAATCTGATTTGAAATAATAGGTTAGCCCTAGTAAATTTAATAAACACAAAATGGCATAACAGTGACATAATAGACTATATGAGCTAGTGACGCCAAAGCCAAATATAAGCTTCCTTCCTTACATAAATACTGGGAGATCATAAAAGAATAAATTAAAACTGGGCCTCTAATTTTGTTTCTTTTATTTAATTATCAGGTTTTTGGCTATTTCTTCCCCCAGGTCCCAGGATAACCTGTTATTTGTTTTAGACTGTTGATAGAGATCATGAAGATTAAAAAAATCTTTGCACTGAAGTTGCTATTACTTCTTTTTTGGGGGGGAGGGGTGAGGGTGGGTGGACAGTCTTGCTCTGTTGCCCAGGCTGGAGTGCAGTGGTACTACAATCTGGGCTCAGGGCAATCTCTGACTCCTGGGTTCAAGTGATTCTTGTGTCTCAGCCTCCTGAGTAGCTGGGACTACAGCTACTATGCCCTGCTAATTTTATTTGTATTTTTAGTAGAGATGGGGTTTTGCCATGCTGCCCAGGTTAGTCTCAAACTCCTCAGCTCAGGCAGTTACCCTCCTTGGCCTCCCAAAGCATTAGGATTATAGGCGTGAGCCACCATACATGGTCTCATATTTTCTATTTTTTTTTTTTTGAGATTGCGTTGGCCAGGCGAGGTGGCTCAGTAATCCTAACACTTTGGGAGGACAAGGCGGGCAGATCACGAGGTCAGGAGTTTGAGACCAGCCTGACCAACATGCTGAAACCCCGTCTCTACTAAAAATACAAAAATCAGCTGGGCATGGTGGCGCACACCTGTAATGCCAGTTACTTGGGAGGCTGAGGCAGAATTGCTTGGACCCAGGAGGTGTTATTTGTTTTAGACTGTTGATATAGATCATGAAGATTAAAAAATCTTTTGTGGTGAGCCGAGGTTGTGCCACTGCACTCCATCCTGGGCGACAGAGAGAGACGCTGTCTAAATAAATAAATAAATAAATAAAAGGCAGGGTCTTGCTCTGTTCCCCAGGCTGGAGTACAGTGGCATGACTTCGGCTCACTGCAACCTCTGCCTCCCAGGTTCAAGCAAGTCTCCTTCCTCAGTCACCCGAGTAGCTTAGATTACCGGTAAGCGCCACCATGCTCCGCTAATTTTTGTATTTTTAGTAGAGATGGGGTTTCACCACGTTGGCCAGGCTGGTCTCAAACTCCTGGCCTCAAGTGACCCACCCACCCATCTCAGCCTCCCAAACTGCTGGGATCACAGACGTGAGCGACTGTGCTGGCAGTGATATTACTTCTGAATTTTTTTTTAACTTTTTTATTTCCATAAGTTATGGGGGTAGTGTGTGGTTACGTAAGTAAGTTCTTCAGTGATTTGTGAGATTTTGGGGCACCCCTCACCTGAGAACTTCTGATACAGTTCTAACATAGGAGGATAAGAAGTTCTATGCTCAAGAATATTTTAATAAGGATATAGAAGGACAATACTCAAATCAAGATCATCTGAAGCCAGGTGCTGTGGCAGGAGAATCTCCTGAACCCAGGAGGCAGAGGCTGCAGTAAGCCAAGATCCTATCACTGCACTCCAGCCTGGGCAACGGTGAGACTTCATCTCAAAAAACAATAAAATAAAAATAAAATAAAAAGATCCCCTGAAGTGGATGCAGTATACACTATCTGAATCTCTGTGACACATCTGTCGCTCAAGACCAAACCAAAGTAATAGTTCTTTAGTTTTCTTTGCTCATATGGTCAATTTAAATTTATTTTTAGGAGGGGAAAAGAACCAATATTACCAATCTAAATTAGTAATATTTCTTTCAATTGGGACTTTCTCTCAATTGACTAAAACTCATGGTATTTCCACCAAAAAGAAATGTTCTAATAAATACAATGTACTAAAAGAGAAAAGTAAGGCATAGGGCATAGTACCACTGGTGAAAAAAGGGAGATTCTCAGGCCTGTGGTAGCAGCAGTCATCCATGAATGAAAACGGAAGATACCATCACATGACAAGGGAAAAAAGAAATAAAAAATATCCAAAAAGCTTTTCTTCAGAATATTTTACTAATTTGAAAAGAACAATTACTGCTGGTACCATTCTTCCTCTAATTTGGTAGGTGGGGGTAAAGAAAAATAAGCAGTGCTGCAAAGCAAAGTGAAACTTCCCGAGGCCACCTAGTGGTGTGATAACACACCAAGGAAGGGCAATACTGCCAGGTTCCCCAGCTGATGATCAGCTCCCTGCCTGGAATCTTGAGGAAGCCCCTGGCAATTACTGATCCTAGTGTGGCTGCAGATGCTATTCTGATTCATGGAAGTGCCTAACTTTACCACAGTTCTCACAACATTGTGAATATTTCAGTACTAGGAGCTTCCTGCTTAAAAAAAATAAGAATGCAAGTCTTTTGACACACCTCCAGTTTCCCCAATGTCAACTTATTTTAACCAAGAAAATCGGGTAAGGAAGATGCTCTCTGTACTACAGAGGACCCACTTTAGTGATGTCTACACAGCAGCCATTACATGGGAAAACAAAACCAAACCAAACCTACCTGTCAATTTCACTGCTTGTTGGCCGAGCCACCTTGGCTCCTGAAGACCCTAAAGTGTAATTTTCCTGTCCTACAGAACCATGGCCTGTGGTGTCAATCACCATGGCCGTGACCTCCTCTGCACTACTCCCATCTTCTCCAGAAGGCTGATTCTCAGGCCCAAGCCACTCCTCCAGATTTTCAGTTTTGATGTGTACTGCTCCAAGAACTCTAACTTCATCATCACTCCGACCCCCACGGTCTGCTACTCCTGTCTCCACATACCACTGTCCTGCTCGGTTGATCCGAAGAATGGGCTCCCGGCTCTCTACATCAGAACTTGGTTCAATGATCTGAGGGCTGGTGGACTCCTCTGGAGGACTTAGCTCTCTGATATCCATCACAGCACTAACCTGACCTCGCCGGTTTCCCTTTGGGGTATTATGTCGTGGGCTAAGGGAGTGGCTGAGATTTGGGGTAACCCTGTGAGACTCTGGAGGTCTCTCTTGATGCTTTGTCCTTGTTTGACTTAATTCTGCTTCGACCTCAGCCACATTAATTTTGAAATGAATGCCCTCCAGGATCTGTGTACATTTGTCTATAATATGCTGCATTTGCAGAAAACTGGCAGCTGTTAGGTAGCTGATGATATCTGCCAGTTGCAGGCATATCCGCCCTGTGTAACAGAAAGAAAGGAGCTGTTCAAAAACAGTAGGGTTCTTGATGACTGAAATGGAGACAGTACTCATCTCATTCAACGACATGTGATCCCGGAAATAGGGGGAGCTGGCAGCCAGTACCACTTTGTGAGCCCGAAAAGCTTGTCCTTGCACATTGACCACAATATCACAGAGACGGCCCTGCATGCGCAACTGGTTTAGATGGCTCAGGACAGAGTTGCTGAAGTCAGGAATCTCCAATTGTATGTTCCCACCTTTCTCCATGGTCGTGCCTGAGGGTGCATTCAACCCTGCTAAAAAAAGAAACCATATTCTAATTAATAATTACATTTTTACTCCCCGGATGTTTCCCATTTCAAAAGTATTTAAACAGTATTCGGTAAAATTTCAAAATCTCCAGGTAAAAAGAAATACCTTCCTTATGTTTAGATGTGGAAACAGAATTACCAACAGGTTTATTGTAAGCTTCACAGGAGGATACAGTTAAAACTAAAAAGTGGTTTTCAGACTCCTAAAAATTCATCTTATGACCATACTTTCCTTACTAATAAGGTATATAACAACAAAATAGAAAGTTCAACAGAAAGTAGGGGAAAGGACTTTTAAGTGTTAACTATAAGGTGCTTGCAGACTGAACATAAAATCTCATAATAACTTTACAATTTTTCTCTGTAGAAGGAAAGCTTTCTGAATAAATGTAGTTCTACATGGATGGCTTGATATCCCTCTTCTTAGTATTCCTACATGCTGCAAGAATTACGTTTATTATTTTATACAGGGACTAATATTCCACATGAATGTAGGCTAGTATTTCTAAGCTTAAGAGTCACAGCCCTCACAAAAAGACTTTGGTTATAGGGCTGTGAGGCAAATTCTAGGTTAGGGTAAATTCCACAGCTGTGCCAGGATTCAACTTAGATGTAGAGAATGTGAAAGTTCAGTTGTCAGAATTAGGAAAGGTGGGTAAATCTGCCAAATTCGAAGTTGGCAATTTCAAGGTGGTGATGATACTTCGATCCTGAAATGTCGTTCTCCAGATCCGACGGTAAAAAAAACAGCATTTACCAAGTATGGCCAACATTTTTCCATTACAATATTTAAAAAAAAATAGCTGAAACATTACACCTGAAGCTGTATACAAAATTGTTGAAAATACAATTTCATCTACTGAAGTTTGTATAAATCCCAACAGGAAGACACTTACTTGAACCCAATGTACATCCACTTATCTATACATTTATATTAGTTACACCACACCTGAAACTTCAGGAACTTATTCTGTCAAGCTCACAGTCCTGCCCCGAATTAACAACAAACTTATTACAAAGGGAAGTGTATACACTGTTTTCAAGAAGCAACTTTAGCCAATCTGACCTTTTTCCAAAGCGTTATTGTTTGTTTTGAAACTTTTAATCCAATAAGAGCCTCTGCCGATGCCATCATGAATTCAGATGTGTTTATTTTGGAGCCTACACCAGCGCCTTTTTTGTTTGCTCTTTCCGGCAATTCCCCAGTGAGGAAGCCCCTGGAGTAAAGTCTTTCGCTACCGTCGGCACTGGAGGGGTGAGAGCTGTAAGAGGGAGAATCGGGAACGGCATGGGGTTGGCCACTCCAGCACTTGAGCAGCTTTCCTCTGCGTTAGGAAGCATGGGGAGAGGGTAACTGGATGAAGGGCAAAATGTCACTGAGGAACTTTGGAGAAGAGGGGGACAAGGCGTCGGGCGGGGGAGCCAACGCTCAGGTGAGAACTAGGAAGGGGGCGGCGCCCGGGGACCCGCTCCAGGCGGCGGCGGGCGGGGAGCAGCCGGGAGGTGGGTGTGCGTATCTGGGTGTGTCCCGGCTGCGGTGGGGGAGGGGGCAGCCCATCCCGGGGTCCTGAGGGAGGGGCCCCGCGAGGGGGCGGGTCTGGTAACTCAGCCCGGCCGGGGGCCAAGGAGGTAAAAGGTCGCCCGGTGCCTGGAGGCGGGGTGAAGGAAAGTAGTGAGCGCCCCAGGAGTGCGCTGCGGCGGAGAGCGGACGACGTGACCCTGGTGCAGGGCAGTGGGACTGGGGTGTGGGGCCCGAGTCCAGTCAAGGAGCAGCACCTACCTCCGGGGGTGGAAATGGGCCGGAATGGGCCGGAACACCGTCCCGGAAGTGAAACCCCCCACCCCCTCCCACGGAGCGGGCGACGTGCCGGAAGGAAATCACTCAGCCTTACACCGCCCCCCTTCCCCCACCCCAGAGCTTTCCTTGCTTCGCGCCCCCTCCCCTCTCTGCTCTTCCTCCTAAATCGGGAGGAGGGCGGGAGCCCGGCGTCTTGGTCAGGTCTCCACCCACAATGGCGAGGAAGGGCGGGGAAAAGGGGCGGGCTTAGGGGGCGGGAAGAAGGTGGTGCTGGAAGATTGAGGGCGGCTAGCGGGAGGAGCCGAAGCAGTTGCTGCCGGGAGCGTGCGTCATGACGTCACCAAGGAAAACCTTTATATACGGGAGCTCAGGCACCATTTCGTCCTTTCGAGGTAGGAGGCCAGTTTTTTCGGGTATGTTTTGTCTTTGTGAATGTTGAGGACTTTCGGGCCCTCCAGCCCTTGTCAGTTAAGGTCACCCTAAACTGACTTCTTAAGCCACTGGCGCGCCTGTGCAGGACCCACAAGCCGAGGATGGTTGGGGATTGCACATTTGGTAGGCGCGACCTAAGCTGCGACTATATTGTTCCGGTTGAATTGCAGAGATGCCTCGGCTCTTGTGCCTTGCCTCTGATGAAGCCTGCGTTGGTAGGGACATCTGAGAGTAATGATGAATGCCAACCGCTCTGATGGTGGCACATGTCGAGTCACCGGAGTAAGCTATTGTTAGGGCCGTGGTCCGAACCTCCAGCCGCCTGCTCTCAGGAAAGGCTGGCGGTGGTGGTAGTCCACCTTTTTTAAGTGGCGGCATTCCGCAGTGCCACCAGTAGGTCTTTTTTTGAGACCCAGCCTTGCTCCCTTACCCAGGCTGGAATGCAGTGGCGCGATCTCGGTTCCCTGCAACCTTCGCCTGCTGGTGCAAGCAGTTATGCTGCTTCAGCCTCCCAAGTAACTAGGACTACAGGCATGCGCCCCACACTCGCCTAATTTCTGTATTTTTGGTAGAGACGGGGTTTCACCATGGGGGCCAGACTGGTCTTGAACTCCTGACCTCAAGTGGTCCACCAGCTTTGTTCTCCCAGAGTGTTGGGATTACAGGCGTGAGCCACCGTGCCTTGCCCGCAATTAGTGGTTCTTAACTGCAAGTGCAGTGTTCCTTTGTAACGTTAAATGTATCCTTTGCCTGTCGCTAATGAATGGTATGTTACCGCCATTGGTTAAAAACACGACATGAACCGTGGAACAGTGAATTAAAACTGTACCCGATCTCTTTTTAGGTATGGAGCTAGGTGCGGATGCGATGTGGCTCTCAGTAGCACCTTATGGATAGGTAAGAATCGGGGAAAATATGCTGGGAAAAATGAAATCTAAAAAACGGTCTTAGCCCGTGATGCTTTAAGAGTAGTGGACAGAAGGGATTTCTGAAATTCTATTCTGAGGCTTTAATGTTAACAGCATTGATATTTGATGTGACTGTAATGAGGTTCATTTTCACCGTTTTGCATCTTTTTGTTTCCTAGTTGTGTCCCAGAGGAAGGATGAGAATAGCTGCTGAAGTAAGTTGAAAATTCCCTCTCAAAAAAATTGAAGTCACTGAATGTGCCACAATGATGACAGTTTATTTGCTACTCTTGACTGCTAGAATGACGAGAGTCTTAACCACCAATCTTACCTGAGGCACCCAAACTGGTGATTTGGGGAACAGAGAGCACACCTAAGTTCACATCAAGTTGTTTCTTCCCAGGTCCTAAAGAGCAAGCCTAACTCAAGCTGTTGGCACACAGGTAAGAAACCTTTGTTATACTTCGCACCCTTTAAGGGATTAGAAAAGAGCCAAAGCAATGATGCTTATATACATTAGTGTTTCCCTCCTCCCCTTATTTTATTTTATTTTTTTCCTTTATTCCTCCCCTTTTCAAATGTGAGTTTCTGCTATCATTTGTATACTTAGTTTAATACTGAAGAAAATGAAAAAACAGGTACTATGATGGTTGCATAGTTCAGCAGATTGCATCATGAAGAGATGTACCATCTGTCTGATGTATCTGTGGTGGCTGTGGTTTGTTGTTAATAGTGTAAGCAGTGTACCACCAATCTAGCATTAAAATATTTACTGACAATTTTGTGTTAAAATTATTTCGTAGGCATTACACAGAAAGCTGGAAGTTGAAATGGTAAGTGAAATTATATCCAAGTAAACAGGTAACTGGGCAAACTGCCTACACACAATTGGCATTCTAGAGTTAAATTCTTAATGTGCATTACGTACTCTTCCCATGAGTGCTGAATGCATGAAATAAATACCAGATTCTCGTCCTGTTACAATTAGTAAGAAAGTTTGTAAATGCAGCCTGGATGATGATAAGCAAATACTGACTGAACATGAAGGTCTTAATTAGCTCTAACTGACTAAAGGCATTTGTTAGTTTTGGAAGGGGGAAAAAACTCATCTGTGGCTATTCTAAGACCACTCTTAATTTCTTAGGTGGAGTCCAACTTGCCTGGACCAGCTTTATGGGTTCTGGTAAGTAGATGGACTTCCTGAGAATGCTTCTACTGATGTGCTTACTGCTGAGCTACTGGCTTATGGCTTGGCTTGGCTGACCAATATTGACTGGAATGGCATTTGTGTATTTTCCTTGAGCACGTTTGGAACGGGGTTTGTGTTATGATGTTGATCAAATGTCTGACCTGAATTGAGCATGTAGACAAAGTTAACACTGAAGAACCCTGTGACAGACAACTTTGAAAAGAAGAGTTTAATGATGTTCAGCATTTTAATGGAAGTCCTCATTTGTATTGCAGCTGGTAACGTTTTTATCCATGGATGGCTTGCTTGGGTAAGGACATGAAGACCGTTCCATTCATATTTGTGGCTTGCTTCTGAAATGTGATCTTACTGATCACTGTTATGGGTTTGTCTTATAAAATTTTATAAAGTGGGTTGTATGAAAGTACTGTATTAAAGCAGTTATTTAAAAGTATTGGATAAGATTTTTGAAAGTAAATAATTGAATATTATTTACTTTTAAGTAAATGATATTCATTGTAGGAAATGGTGTGAAACTTTTTCAGGTGCAGATGTTGGAGACCTTTTAAAGGTATATATTTTTTTGATGTTAACATTATATTTACTGAGTGAGATACTGTTAGTGATGATTTTAAAATTAAAACAGATGGGAATCTCTCTGAAAGAAAATGGAGATTAATCTTAAACTGAAACAGTAGCTGGGAAATCTTTTAAAAATCTACCTATTAGTACCTATTGGTAAAGGAGATTAAATTTCTGCAGGTATGGAGAGTCAGCTTGACTACACCGTGTGGAGCAATTTGTGGAGCAAGTTTTAAAGAAGCAAAGGTATAGCAATCACCCGTGGTTTTCTTTTTTGAGACAATCTTGCTCTGTTGCCCAGAATGGAGTGCAGTGGTATCATTGCAGCTCACTGCAGCCTCTGCTTCTTGGGTTCAAGTGATTTTGCTGCCTCAGCCTCCCGAGTAGCTGGGACTACAGGTGCGCAGCCCCACACCTGGCTAATTCTTGTATTTTTAGTAGAGATGGGTTTTCACCATGTTGTCCAGGCTGGTCTTGAACTCCTGATCTCAAGTGAGCCACCCTCCTCGACCTCCCAAAATGCTTTGATTACAGGTGTGAGCTACCATGCCCTGCCTCAAGTATGGTTTTTAAGTGTTGAAAAGCCAATACCATGATGATAACATAGTTCAGCAGACTAACACTGATGAGCAGTATTAAGTCTTTCGCTCCTATCTGATGTATCTGGCTGTAACACTCCAGTTTATACCCTTGAAAAGGGAAATAATAGCCATTCTATAGCTTTTTGTGATTTGGATTACTCTTAATTGTATGTAAGTTGTCTTACTGTGTATTGCCCCTTAATTTCAGGACTTGGAATTCATGCTTGAAGAAATGCAGGTTAGTTTAAGCTTTTTTGAGGTGGCAAAGGATGTTTTTGTGGTGTATTCACCTTAATCTGTAGATGGGAGTGATTAGCTGTTTAAAAGTTAAAATGTGACTGAAAAGGAAGTTGAGTAAAATGTGACTGAGAAGGAAACTGATTAGGGCAAAATTTAAATGGAATTGTCTTTCATCTTCTAACAGGCATATCTGTTTTAAATGGAATTTTTCATCTTCTGACAGGCAGACCTGCTAACCTAAAAACTAGGTGAGTCCGTTTCTGGTACATGTGATAATTTTCGATGTAACCAATGATGTAATGATTCTGCCAAATGAAATATAATGATATCACTGTAAAACCGTTCCATTTTGATTCTGAGGTTACTGTAGTAACAAGAATCACACATTTGTTTTTTGCCATGATTAACGTGTTGTCTTTGCTTTCAGAGTTTAATGACCACAGCAAGCAAGCATGCAGTTTGGCCCTTGAAAGGTGAGGGTTGGAAATACTGATTATTGTAATTGCAGAATACATGATGATCTCACTCCAGCTTGAACTCTCTCACTGATTACTTGATGACAATAAAAGATCTGATATTCTGCATTCCCCATGTAGCATTTTAATTTAAGTCTGGAAATGTGGCTAAAAGTTGTTTTTTTATTTTCTGAGACAGGGTCTTTCCTCACCCAGGCTGTAGTGAGCCCTTTGCAGCTCACCACAGCTCAAACTCCTGCGTTCAAATGATCCTCTGCCTCCCAGTGGCCTTTGTAGACAGCCTGATATAGAATCTCAAGAAGATTAAAAAATGTCTTTAATTTCAATAAATGGCTGCAATCCATCTGGAGTATGGAGTGATTACTTAAAAAAAGGACAGTGCTTTTCATCTGTTAATCTTTAGTTGTAAGCATAAATCTCATTCGAAGGCTATTAAAACTCCAGGGCATTTGCTTTATTTACAGCGTAGCCAATTAAAATTTTGAGTGTTACAAGGTGTCTTGCATTAAAGTGCAATGTTGCCTAATTTTACAAATGAGCAAATTGTCAGGGTTTAATAGGCCCCTGTGTCAATTGGTCTTGAGTTTAAAGTATTAATGGAGCTCCCTTTGAGAAAGTCATGTCCAACTAGTGATAATTCCATGTGGGTTTTTGGCAAACAAGTGTTTAGGGATGCCAAAAGTGGGTGTAAGGGGCCAACTGGTTACTTCAATCTGCCAAAATTTACATTATCAGAAAGATGGACCAAGGGGTCGAAATTGAAGGTGGGACACTTAATTTGAATGTCAATGTAGCTGTGGTTATATCTTTGTTGGGAAATGTTTAGCAATAATGGTTTTACTAATCTGAGTGTCTGGGCTAAAGCAGTTTAGTCCCATTAATGATAAAACTTGTTTAAATACATTTCTGGTTACCCTCTGAATTTTTTTTTTTGAGACTGAGTCTAGCCTCAAGGGGTGCAGTGGTGTGGTATCTGCTCATTGCAACCTCCGCATCCTGGAGGTGGAGCTGTTCTCACACCTCAGCCTCTCAAGTAGCTAGGACTAAAGGCACCTGCCATGGTGACTGGCTATTTTTTTTGTATTTTTAGCAGAGATAGGGTTTTGCCATGTTTGCCAGGCTGGTCTTGAACTGACCTCAGGCGATCTGCCTGCCTTGATCTGGCCTCCAAAAGTGCTGGGATTACAGGCATGCGCTACTGTGCCTGACGTATCTGAATTTTTTGTTTTGAGACAGAATCTCACCCATCCTGGAGTGCAGTGGTGTGCTCTTGGCTCACTGCAGCCTCTACCTCCCAGGTTCAAGCAGTTCTGCCTCGGCCTCCTAAGTAGCTGGGATTACAGATGCCCATCCACCATGTCAGGCTAATTTTTGTGTTTTTAGTAGAGACGGTTTCAGTATATTGGCCAGGCTGGTCTTGAACGCCTGACCTCGTGATCCACCTGCCTCGGCCTCCCATGTGCTGGGATTACAGGCATGAGCCACCGCATGTAGGCCATCGTTTATTTTTGGTTAACTCATGTTACAGAATAATAAACTTTCCTTAAAATAAGTATACTTGAGGTAGCATCTTTAGGATGAATTACGCTTAAAAAGCAAGGAATGTGATCAGTGTCATAGATGGTTCTGGTTCTTCAGAGAAGGGAATTACAGGAAAAGATGTTTTATGCAACTAAACAAAATAATCCCATTGGATTGACAGATCTCAACAAGGAGAAAGTTCATACAACAGATCTCTTGAAAGCTAATGATTACTGTTGACACTGGCAACTGTTTGCCTTGTTTTTAAAAATTTGCCATATACAACCTTAATTTTCTAGGAGTTTGGGGAGACTGAATTTGAAATAAACTCTGCTTTCAGTTTAGCATGAGTTTATACATTCCAAAGTCCTGGTTGTTTTTGACTTTATAAGTAAGTAGTCCCTTAATTTTTGAGAAATAATTCATTTTAAAATTCATCCTGACACACCTCGCTGAGTGACACTTCACTGTCTTAAATAGTAACTTCACTGGATTTCAAAATAAGCATTTTTCTTCCTCATACATAGGAGGACTAGCTGAGTAATGCCTAAAGGGACTAGGCCTCTGAAATACTAGGATTGTGGCTGGGTGTGGTGGGTCACAACTGTAATCCCAGCACTTTGGGAAGCTGAGGTGGATGGATTGCTTGAGTCAAGGAGCCCAGAGAACAGTCTGGATAAGATGGCAAGACCCCTTTTCTCTCTCAAAAAATATTGGCCAGGCATGGTGGTGCACTCCTACAGTCCCAAATACCTGGGAGGCTGAGGTGGGTCACCTTAGCCCAAGAGATTGAGGCTGCTGTGAGCTGTGATTGCACCACTACTATAGCCTGGCCCAAGATCCCTTCTCCATTTAAAAAAGTTATAAATCAGGGCAGGTGCAGTGGTTCACACCTACAATCGCAGCACTTTGGGAGGCTGAGGTGGGGAGATCATCTGAGGTCAGCAATTTAAGAGCAGCCCAGCCAACATGGAGAAACCCATCTCTACTAAAAATGGAAAAACATTAGCCGACCATGGTGGCACACACCTGTAATCCCAGCAACTTGGGATGCTGAAGCAGGAGAATCACTTGAATCTGGGAGGCTGAAGTTGCAGTAAGCCAAGATTGTGCCATTGCACTCCAACCTGTACAACGGAGGGAGACTGTCTCAAAAAAAAATAATAAATTTCAAGGCAAAAGTGAAGATTGAATAGAAAACAATTTCAGAATCACTGTTAAAGACCTTGTTCTTATTTCATGATTATTAGTTTATTAAAACTTTTAGTTGCATTATAACATAAGGAAATCACAGAGTTTTGGTGTTCACTTTTTCGCACATTTGGGTTAATCTAAGGTCAATATCTTTGTTCAGTGACTTAATATCTTTTTTGTCTTTTGAGATGGAGTCTTGCTCTTGTCACCCAGGCTGGAGTTGAGTGGCACGATCTCGGCTCACTGCAACCTTTGCCTCAGGTTCAAGCAAACCTCATGCCCCAGCCTCCCGAATAGCTGGGATTACAGGCATGTGCCACCACGCCTGGATAATTTTTGTTTTTAGTAGAGACAGGGTTTCACTATGTTTGCTAGGCTGGTGTCGAACTCCCGACCTCAAGTGATCCACCCTCCTTGGTCTCCCAAAGTGCTGGAATTACAGGTGTGATCCACCACTCCTGGCCAATACCTTTAAAAATAGAAATATAAATAAAATTGATAAATAAAATGACTTGTACTGTTGATACAGTTTTGTTTAATCTGAAGCTATAAAATAGAGATACATCTACCTACCTATGTATGGATGGATAATATCTCACATTTGTGGAATGCTTTATAGTTTTTTAAAGTACTTTTATTCACTTTATCTCATAGATGTTATCTCCTCTGATTCCAGCAACAAGAGCCCTGTGAGGTAGCCAGGGCAAGTATTTTACACAACATTAGCAGGAAGGGAGGCTAGGAGAGGTTTATGTAACTCGCTCAGGCTGAAACACTGAAAAAAAAAAATTGTGACTGTCATTTCAGTGATGTTTTCTGCATTATATTATGGTACTCCTCACTATATTATGTTGATGGCTGAAATGTCATAAAGCTTAATTATATGATTCTCTTGATGAGGCTGATGAAATAAACTTAACTCACTAGTTTTACAGGGACAACCATTTTCCCACATTTCATATATGATTTGATTACCTGTGTCCTAAGTGAATAATCTACTGGGGTATGAAAAACATGATTTGAAAACACTACACCACTATATTATTTCAACAAAGAACCATCTTTCACACCTCTCTAAGTAAAAAGGAACTTCAAAAAAAGTCCTAACCAAAAAAAAACGAAAACGAAAAAGCCGAATGATGCATGGCGATCAAGTCAAAATTGGGTATCTTCTGCTTCATTGTGATGAAGAATGTTGCCTGGATTCCTTCCATTTAAAGACTTGATTGTCAGACCTGTGGCAGAACTCTAGATCTGATTTAGCCTTGGGGAAGCAAACAGGACAAAACCCAAAAGCTCAACTTTCTGCAATGGTATGCATGATTCAATGAGCTTTGGCTGCTTTGGAGTCTGTTGGCCAGGAGACTTGGATATGATAAGGCTTCAGTTCCTCAGGAGGAATAGAATCTGGAGTATTGCTCATGAGGTCATGTCCCCGGAAGGACTTTGGGAAGGCTATGACATCTCTGATGCTTGGAGATCCAGTGACAACGCATATTAGTCTGTCTAACCCTGTGAGTAAAATACAAAGACAACATGAGAAATGTAATCTAATGTTGGAACTAACTTAGTTTTTCTATAAAAGTTGTAGAGAATCTTTAAAATAAGAATCCTTAACAAACTGTAGCCAACCATAGTTCTCTACCTTTTTAGAGAACTTTTGTTTGAGAGGTTCTTTTCTATGGCATTCTGGAAGAGTACTGAGGACTAATGTTCACATGCTATTTGGGTTATCACAGCAATTAGTGTTTCTAGCAAGGGCTTACTAAAGGCCCTAAAACAGGTTTAACAATGAATTTAGTGCTTGGCAGGGAACTCCATAAACACCGAAGGAAGTTCCTGTTTTTGGGGCCTACCATCTAGGTGAGCCTCCTAGAATGTCTCACTCTTCCTTGCTTTGGAGTCTGGCAAAACAAGCAAAGTGAGTAACCATGGCAAACAGAAGGACGCTGGCATATTCCTGTTTTCATTATGGAGCAGTGCTTTCCAGATCCAGTGAGCGTGTCTGTGAGGCCACAGGGATTTGAACAGTATTGCCTTAAGATCTGCAGTTTTAAACTATTAATGATCTTTCAAATGCAAATTATCAGTTAAATTATATCTTTATAACTGCTAAGATATATTTAAAATATATTACTGAAATTTATTATTTATTTTATTGTACTTTGGGCTCTGGGGTACATGTGCACATCCTGCAGGATTGTTGCATAGGTACATACATGCCATGGTGGTTTGCTGTCTCCCTCTCCCCCTGCCATTACTGAAATTTAAACAAACTTATATTCTCATGGAACTCTTAGACTCATCCGTCCACCTCCACCACCACAAAATGAGAGCCCGAATTTGAGACAGTGCAATGGAATTCAGTTTAGCTTATAAGAAGAAAAATTGTTTACCTAAGGCAATTCCTCCATGAGGGGGTGCCCCATAATCTAAAGCCTGGAGCATATGGGAGAGCAATTTCACATCTTCCTGAAATTCAAAAGATAATTCAGTTGAAGGTCCACTAAGTGCTACCATCTAGGCTTAGATGATAAAGGGAAAACAAAGTTGAGTTTTAAAACACCCAAACCTGACTTAACTAATAATAATAACTTAATGGAAAAATGTAAAGAAAAAGTTACCTTAAGTGATTTACAAGCTAGCAAGGGAAAAAAACAAGTCATAGATGATATTAACATGTACAAAAATGCCTGGTGTTCAGTAAGTGCAGCTTTTACTGTATTCACAATGCGAAGAGAGTGAGACCAAATGAGGAGGTGAAGGTGAAAAGCAGGAAAACTTCTCCTGTCACAGAGACCAAGGGAAGAGAACATTACTAAGTGGGCGACTTGTCAAATGCTGCTGGGAGGAAGGAGAGCTTATGGGCCAAGAAGAGGCCACTGGATTTGGTGACCGTGTGAGTAACTTGTCGGGCAGTACTTGTAGAAATGTTGAAAGTGAGTTTGAAAATGCTTCTCCAACCAGGCTACAAATCAGGACCAAGCGGGAAGCCTCAAACAAACAGATGCCAAAGCCTCATGCTCATAACTTTTTATGCAGTTGGTCTGATGTGTGGCCAAGGCACCAGTGTATTTTTTTTTAATGCCTTCCAGGTGATTTGATTTTAAGGTGTAGCAGGGCAGAGAACCACTGTTTAGGGAAGCAACAGAAGTAATGTATTCTAGGCCACATGCAGTGGCTTACTCCTGGGAGGCCAACACAGGCAGATCACCTGAGGTCAGGAGTTCAAGACCTGCCTGGCCAACATGGCAAAACCCTGTCTCTACTAAAAATACAAAAAAAAAAAAAAAAAATAAGCTGGGTGTGGTGGTGTGTGCCTGCAGTCCCAGCTACTCAGAAGGCTAAGGTAGGAGAATCACTTGAACCCGAGAGGTGGAGGTTGCAGTGAACTGAGATCACACCACTGCACTCCAGTCTGGGTGACAGAGTGAGACTGTCTCAAAAAAAAGAAAGAAGTAATGTATTCTTACTGACTCTTGAAAAGTTTCACAATCAGAGGAATGAAAAAGATAGGCTGAAAACGTGACTAGAAGCTGGGCTGGGCAGGAGGATTGCTTGATCCCAGGAGTTTGAGGCTGCACTGAGTTATGATCCTGCCATTGCGCTCTAGCCTGGGCGACAGAGTGAGACTCTCATCTTTTTAAAAACAAACAAACAAACGCACAAAACCCAAATGGTGATTGGAGGCTTTGACTTGGCAAAGTTAAGATTTTGGCCGGGTGTGGTGGCTCAAGCCTGTAATCCCAGCACTTTGGGAAGCCGAGGCGGGTGGATCTCTTGAGGTCAGGAGTTTGAGACCAGCCTGTCCAACGTGGTGAAACCCTGTCTCTACTAAACATACAAAATAGCTGGGCGTGGTGGCACGCACCTGTAATCCCAGCTACTTGGGAGGCTGAGGCAGGAGAATTGCTTGAACCCAGGAGGCTGAGGTTGCAGTGAGCCGAGACTATGCCACTGCACTCTAGCCTGGGAGAAAAAGCGAGACTGTCTCAGCAGCAGCAACAACAACAACAACAAAGTTAACAGATTTCACAATACCCTTAGACTTTAAGAACATTGAAGGATTAAAGTTAAAGGAGTCATCTTATAGTCAGAGTTCTCCAATCCTGCTCTCACATATGAAGTTCTTCCATCCTGCCTCATACTTGTCAGTTAATCCCGCAAAATGGTCTTTCAGGACCAGAGAGTTTGGTCCTGAAAGACCTTTTCCTTTTGAAACCTACCCAAGCCTTCTATAGCATCACCAACAAACTTCAAATTCTTAGGTCTGCACCTGTACAGACTCTTTTTCTTTCAAAAATCCTGATTACTCTACTTTCACTAAAATATATCCCTACCTTAAATATAGCTGAAGTAGTATCTAATAAGTGACATAAAATCTTTTCAAACTTCTCTAACATTATCAATTTTAGTCACTTCCCGACTATATGGTTTTCATTTTATTTAATTTTTTAATTTTTTTCAAGCTGCATGGTTTTCTTAAGCAGTGTAGTGGTTAGGAGCATGGGCTTTAGAGCCACCCCGCAGGGTTCAAATCCTGACTCTGCTTACTTTTGTACTGTCACTTTGGCAAGTAAGCTGCCTCAGTAAATCTCATCTTTAGAGTGGGCAGAATAAAGATACTTACCTGTACTATTATAATAAGGGTATTTAATATGAACTATTAATTAGTACTTAAATAGTGCTGTTTAATAGTGCTATGAGCCAGATACTATTTAAGGATTTAATATTATTTACTTTTCCAAGTCCTACATTAAAGGTAGAGATATAGCTGATGCTATTTTGTATCTTGTGAATCCTCCATTCATAACAAATGTTTAATAAAATAGGCTGATTTAAGTCAGATGTGGTGGCTCATGCCTATAACCCCAGCACTTTGGGAGGCCAAGGTGGAAGGACTGCTTGAGAGCAGGAGTTTGAGAGCAGTGTGAGCAACATAGGGAAACCTTATCTCTACAAAAAAATTAGGCATGATGGCATGTGCCTGTAGTCACAGTTACTTGGGAGGCTGACGTGGGAGGATGGCTTGAGCACAGGAGGTTGAGATTGCAGTGAGCTGTGAATGCACCAGTACACTCCTGCCTGGGTGACAGACTGTCTCAAAAACAAGCCAACGACAACAACAACAGGAAAAAAAAAAAAAAAAACAACTGAAAAATACTCTGGTAAAAAAGTAAGCCCAGGATAGCAGATGGTGTTTGTTACCTTTAGTAAGGTTGCCAGTATATATTGCTGTAGCTCTGCATTGTGAATTCGAATTGAACCACCTCCTATCTCATTGCCATTTAAAACCAAGTCATAGTGTTGGCTACGGACCTAGAAGATTCACAGAGACTTTATGTTAGAGAAAATGTCTGGTTTTCTGTTCTACAGGTTGAAGATCCTGTAGATTCTTAAAGACAATGTATTAACTACTAACTCAAACCCCTCAGTTTCTTCGGAGGCTTCCAGAACTGGGCCCTATCTATCATCAGACTTTGAAGTCTGAAGTTCTTTGCTGTTATATACATACTTCTTTTTGATTTGGAAGTAGAGATACAGTACCTTTTTGGGCTCAGTGTAAAGGAGGTGTATGTCACTGGGGTGGGGAGCAGTAAATGGGTGGTGGGCCGATTCCAGCTCCCTGGGATTTTCCTCCTTGGGGAGAAAGAGTGGGAAATCCACTACCCAAAGGAAAGAGAACAGAGTGGGGTCACGGAGCACCACTCCTCTTGTTTCTAGAAGGTCAGCACATTCCAGTCGTAATTTTCCCAACAAAGAACACTGCAAACAGAAGACATAAACATTGAGTTAACTTCTTGACAGAACAGGCAGCAAATGACACAGCCTGGATTCCGAAGCCAGGCCATTCTCTAGGAAAAGATTAGCCAATTAACAGATAGGATGCTTGTTGCCTCTCAGAACACAAAGATCTGAGGAATCTGACTGCAACATGGTTGAGAACAATTAGACTCAACCATCTGGGTAAGTACCTAATAACTCGGTGATTAAAAACAGGGATCAGCAGTTCATAGACCTGGGTCTAAATCTCAGTGTGGCTTATTACTAACTTCTCTGTAACCTTTTTCATTGTAAAATGGGGTTAAAAATATCAACTCGAAAAGACTGCAGTGAAGCTTAAGTGTGATAATGTATGTAAGGTGTAGGGCCTGCCAAAGTATGTGAGTGGCAGTCATTCTGATTATTTCCTCACTTCTCCTGAAGGGTTGTGGTGAGGATTTGGTGAGTTCCTGGCACATGGTTAATGTTCAGTAAAGGCTGGCTATCACTACAGGTAATGTGGATTAGAGATTCATTTAAGAGTGTGGCTGGGCACAGTAGCTCACACCTGTAATCCCAGAACTTTGAGAGGCCGAGGTGGGCAGACCATGAGGTCAGGAGTTTGAGACTAGCCTGAGCAACATGGTGAAACTCCATCTACTAAAAATACAAAAATTGGCCTGGCATGGTGGTGTGTGCCTGTAATCCCAGCTACTTGGGAAATTGAGGCAGGAGAATCGCTTGAACCCATGAGGCAGATGTTGTAGGGAGCTGAGATCATGCCAGTGCACTCCAGCCTGGGCGACAGAGCTAGACTCTGTCTCAAAAAAAGAAAAAAAAAGTGCGAATTTTGGAACCCAACTTCATGGGTTGGAAATCTGGCTCCTCCACTTCCTAGCCGTGTGACTATGAGCAAAATTTTAACCTCTGTGCCTCACTTTTCTTATTTTTAAAATAGCAACAGTATCAGAACTTCCTTTATAGGGTTGGCATGAGGGTTAAATGAGTTAATGTCTACAAAGTGCTTAGAACAGGGCTTGGCAAATAGTAAGTGCTTAATAAGTGCTACCTATGGTGTGCAGGACTTCCCTGAGAAAGGACAGTTGGTTAGAACAGTGACATATGCCTGGAGACATGATAGGATGTTATTTTGTAGTCCAGTCTATCTTATATTTATGTCTACATAAGGGACCTTCATTGTGACATTTTTAGAATGCTAATGTTATTCCTTGAAAGTCTGGTTTCTAGCTCTTTCAAGGAAGGCCTTGTAGGAATCAGAACTATACCTTCCCGAGAATGAAACACCAGCATGTTTAGTTCATACCAAGAGAACGTTTAATATCCAAATAAGTTTGCAACAAAATCCCATGTTCTCTTTTTTTTAATTTTTTTTGAGATGGAGTTTCGCTGTTGTTACCCAGACTGGAATGCAATGGCATGATCTCAGCTCACCGCAACCTCCGCCTCCTGGGTTTAAGCAATTCTCCTGCCTCAGCCTCCCGAGTAGCTGGGACTACAGGCATGTACCACCATGCCCAGCTAATTTTTGTATTTTTTTTTGTAAATTTTTTGTATTTTTTTAGACGGGGTTTCACCTTGTTGACCAGGATGCTCTCGATCTCTTGACCTCATGATCCACCCGCCTTGGCCTCCCAAAGTGCTGGGATTATAGGTATGAGCCACTGTTCCTGGCCTCATGTTCTTTTTTAAGAAATGCATTCATAATAAAATTTGGAAATAAATTAGCTTTCTTTATTCTATTATAGGGGAAGGGGAGACAGGGGATTACATTTAGCTCTGAAGCTGGACTCTGAAACTTTTTCTTTGGAAGAAACAATGATAAATGAGAATATAGATTTTAAGAAAACTTGATGAAGTATGAGTGAGACACACTATCATTTTGAAAAAACTACTAAATTAGAACAATAAATTTATATCATGCTTGATCTTTACAGTACATTTTTAATATTCATGGTTGACTTTGCACTATACTTTTCTATATGTTACAAAGATCCCTGAAGCTAATTCAGTCTTCTGTATCCCCCAAAGAATGGTGACTCAGCCAGTGCATGATGGCATTCACCACCTACAGCTGCTGTTTTTGAGGAAAAAAGGTCCTACTTTGACCAAGTTGGTCCAGAGGTGTCTATAAACCCACCAGCTCTCCAGTGGTCTGATCTGTCCCTCCACAATTTAGGAATGCATTATGTACAAAAGTTTGAGACTACCTAATTTTCTTCATCTGTAAAATCTTGACACTGAAAATATTTTTTCATGGTCATATGACTAATTTCACTACCCCTTTATCTAAGTGGATTTCCCAATTAGGGTCAGGTCTAATTAAGTAATGCCAATGGAGGCTGGTAGCTAATGAAAACAACCCTTAGTTGTTTTTTTTTTGAGTTGGACCCTGGCTCTGTCACCCAGGCTGGAGTGCAGTGGCATGATCTCGGCTCACTGCAACCTCTGCGTCCCAGGTTCAAGTTATTCTCTTGTCTTAGACTGTTGAGTAGCTGGGACTATAAGTGCCCGCCACCACGCCTGGCTGATTTTTGTATTTTAAGTAGAGATTAAGTTTCACAACATTGACCAAGCTGGTCTTGAACTCCTGATTTCAGGTGATCCGTCAGGCTTGGCCTCCCAAAGTGCTGAGATTACAGGCATGAGCCACTGTGCCTGGCCCACCCCTAGTTTTTATACAGTGCATTATAAAGTATTATACGATTTATGCAGGCTGGGTGCAGTGGCTCATGCCTGTAATCCTAGCAGGTTTGAGACGGTGAGGTGGGTGGATTGCCTGAGCTTAGGAGTTTGAGACCAGTCTGGACAACATGTGAAACCTCGTCTCTATTAAAGATACAAAAAATTAGCCAGGTATGGTGGAGTGCACCTGTAATCCCAACTAATCAGGAGGCTGAGGCAGGAGAATTGCTAGTACCCACGAGTTGGAGGTTGCAGTGAGCTGAGATTGTGCCACTGGACTCCAGCCTGGACAACAGAGCGAGACTCCATCTCTCTCAAAAAAAAAAAAAAAAAGATTTATACAGAGCAGCTCCATTTTGTGAATTAACCGTCTGTAGTTCAAATATATACTATACACATAGAAGAGTACACCATCAACAGCATTGATGCTTGGAGGTAATTTTTCTTACTGCTTTATTGTGCTCTCCAGCCGTTAGTAGGACCACATCTTCCTCTTGGGTCTCCATTAGTCTGATTAATTCTTGTCTTTTCAACTCCATTATGAAGTTAGCAACTGGAGAATTCCAGTTTCTGTTGGTGTTAAGGAATACAGGTAAGATTTCCTGTGAAAAAGAAAAAGACTTATTCACACTTTTTTTTTAACAGTGGGAATTAATTTATATTCTTATAGTACAAAGATTTCTGGTAGAAAAGAATTTTCTAGAAGAAGAGAATTTAAAAGATATTATCTCTATTATCTCCCTGAACCCCTTCAAAATGATACTAAGGGAATTTTATAAAGTAGGCTTGGCATGGTGGCTCATACCTGCAATCCCAGCACTTTGGGAGGCTGAGGTGGGTGGATCACTTGAGGCCAGAAATTCAACATCAGCTTGGCCAACATGGTGAAACCCCATCTCTACTAAAAATATAAAAATTAGCTGCGCCAGTTGTGTGCACCTGTAATCTGAGCTACTTGGGAGGCTGAGGCATGAGAATCGCTTGAGCCTGAAAGGTAGAGGCTTTAGTGAGCTGAGATTGGGCCACTGCACTCCAGCTTGGGTGATAGAGCAAGACAAACAAAACAAACAAAAAAGGGGTAAATTCAACATAATGAAAAAGCAGGGAGGAGGATGAAGAATGGAGAGTAATATCAGCGGATGAGAGATTACTGTGAATTTTTGGTAGATTTCAAGTGACGAGTAGGAATGATTAAAGAAACAAGGTGCAGGAAGGTTTGGCATAAAGAACAATGCAGGTGGCCTCAGCATAAGGAATTGATTTTATCCTGCAGAGTTCTGAAGAGGTTCAGGACTTTTAAGCCTTGAATGCCTAGGATATCAGACAGCAGGGATATCCCTCTCTGGATTCCCCTCCCACAACAGCATGGGAGCTGTCTTGTCTCTCTCTCTCTCTCTCTCTCTCTAATACACCGCTCTTCCACAAACAAAAACAAAAACAAAAACAAACAAAACAACAAAAACAAAAAGCAGACAGCAGCCTTGCTGCTCATGCTAAACTAAACCTAACCATTTACAAAGCCTCTTTAAGGATCTTGGGTTTCCAACCAGCTTTTTTTTTTATTAAGATGAAGTCTCTCTCGCTCAGGCTGGAGTGCAGTGGCCTGATCTTGGCTCACTGCAGTCTCTGCCTCCCAGGTTCAAGTGATTCTCCTGCCTCAGCCTCCCAGTAGCTGGGATTACAGATGTGTACCACCATGCCTGGCTAATTTTTGTAGTTTCAATAGAGACAGGGTTTCACTATGTTGGCCAGGCTGGTCTCAAACTTCTCACCTCAAGCGATCTGCCCGCATTGGCCTCCCAAAGTACTGGGATTACAGATGTGAGCCACTGTATCCGGCCCCAAACAGGTTTTAAAGTGTTCCATTCTTGAATATGTACAAATTACCAACAATAACCGTACATTGAAGAAACTCTGCAGCATTAAAAAAAAGACCAACATAAACACAAAAAATAGCCCCAGAGAGAACATAATTTAGGGACCAAAAGAGGACTTGAATCCTCAAAGGTACTCAAAAAGATATTTTATGAATAAAACCAGAATAATATGCGGTTAAAAAAAAAACACACATACAAAAAACTTCTTGAAAAAAATTCGACAGAGTTGAAGAAATCCCCAGGAAAATAGAACAAACAAGACAAGGAAAATGATGAAAATGAGATGCAAAAGAAAAGAGACAAGTTAAATTGGTTCAACATATAACTAGTAGAAATTCCAGAGAGACTAGAAAAAATGATAGAGTCAAAATAATTAGATAACAAAATCATTTTCTACACATAAAAAGACATAAACCTTCATACTGAAAGGGCTTTTCAAGTGTATAACACATCGAATGCAAAATGATCAAAAGGCAAACAAATTCTGAAATTTCAGAACATAAAGCATCAGAAGGCAGAAAGCTTCCAAAGAGGAAAAATCAGGTCTGCTATAATGGAATAAATTCACACAAGCATCAAAGCATCAGACTTTTCATCAGTAACAACAGATGGAAGAAGAAAGTAAAGCAATGCCTTAAAAGTTCTAAAGCTGTGCCGTCTAGTGATGCACTGTGGCTATTTACATTTAAATTAATTAAAATGAAATAAAGTGAAAAGTTCAGCCCTTTAGCTGTACTAGCCTATTTCAAGTGTTCACTAGCTACACTGGCTAGCAACAACTATACCGATCAATGCAGACAAAACGTTTCCATCATTACAGAAAGTTTTGTTGAACAGCACTGTTCTAAGGTGATATGGCTGTCAATTCAAAATTTTGTAGTAAGCCAAATTATTATTAATCAAGTGTGCGGGTTTAAACACAAAGACATTTTGTAAGGACTCAGTAAACTGATCTCTTGTATGCTTTCTTAGGAAGTTACTTGATTACATACTCCAACAAAAAAAAAAAAGAGGAAAATCTGGGATCCAGGAAAACTGGCTTCAACTCAGAAAAGAAATGAAGAAAAGGTTCAGAAAGACAGCTGTGCAGAAGGTACACAGTAACTAGGTGAGGTCTGTATATGTGATATGTGAGCCTCATCTCTCATCACAAGAATTTAACAAGGTTTAACATGCATTAAGTAAAAAGAATAAAAAAGTATGTAGAGATATTTCCAAAAACAGAGATACTCTGGCAGAATACTAGGATGGCTGGGGCAGGCTAGAGTAAATGATTATTACATTTCACCATTAATGCTGCTTTAGTTTTTGAACCATGTGTGTGCCATATGTTGCTAAAAACACATGCGATCTAAAAGCAATTAGAAGCCAAATCAAGTTAAAACATTAATAAAAAATAGTAGTACCCATTTCTTATATAAAAATTCAGGAAACTAGGAAGGAAAAAGAAAACAGGAGAAGAAAGAAAAGAATGAAAGAAGAAAATGTAATAAGAGTCCCATCAACTGAAGGCTGCCAAAGTTAACCTTCAGGCTTGTTTTCTGGTCTGTGGTTCTTAGATGCAGATTTTATATACTATAAAATAAAAATAAAATTCGAAGATAAAGCGTTGCCAATTTTTAAGTTTATAAAGAAAAGCCATATTCCACCACCCCAACACCTCCACAAAGAGAGGAATAAAGGATAGTTCTTTAAACTTATTTAACTTTATTAAAAGCTTATTATATTGCCCTGACTTTTCTGTTTTTGTCTCACCCCATTTTGGAAACCACTACCCTAAATGTTTTTCTTATATAAAAATCTACTTATTGTTCTTTGTGCTTGAGGTATGAGGATTGGGAAATAGTGGTGGTAGAGGTAGGTAGTCCATTTTCAGTATACAAATACAGTGTTTTCACATGGTTATGATCAGTACAAATATAATCCCATAGCCTCCTTTTGATACATATCATTACAAAAGCATTTTTGCTCTATTAAGTCTTAGAAAACAAAATTTTAAAAAGGAACTTTAGTATTCCTTTGATTTTATCATAATTTATTTAATTACTCCTATATGGTTTCATTTTATTCCTGTTATCATACCTAAGATTCTTTCCCCACCTTTTTTTTTTGAGACAGAGTCTCACGCTATCGCCCAGGCTGGAGTGCAGTGGTATGAACACAGCTCACTGCAGCCTCGATCTCCTGGGCTCAAGTGATCCACCCACCTTAGCCTCTCAAGTAGTTGGGATGACAGGTGTGTGCCACCATGCCCAGTTAAATTTTTTTCTAGTTTTTATAGAGATGAGGTCTCACTGTGTTGCCCAGGCTGGTCTCAAACTTCTGGGCTCAAGTGATACTCCCATCTTGGGCTCCCAAAGTGCTGGGATTACAGCTGTGCACTTCCTTCCCTGGCTGGATCCTTTATTTCTTTTAGACACAGGGTCTCACTCTGCCACCCAGGCTAGAGTGCAGTGGCATGATCATAGCTCATTGCATCCTTGATCTCCTGGGCTTGTGATTCTCCTGCCTTAGTCTCCCAAGTAGCTGGGACTACAGATATGTGCCACTATGCCCAGCTAATATTTATTTATTTAGAGACTGAGTCTTGCTCTTTCGCCCAGGCTGGAGTGCGGTGGCATGATCTTAGCTCACTGCAACCTCTGCCTCCTGGGTTCAAGGGGTTCTCCTGCTTTGGCCTCCCAAAGTAGCTGGGATTATAAGTGTGCCACCACTCCCGGCTAATTTTTTGTATTTTTAGTAGAGATAGGGTTTCACCATGTTGGCCAGGTTGGTCTCGAACTCCTGACCTCAACTGATCTGCCCGCCTCGGCCTCCTAAAGTACTGGGATTACAGGTGTAAGCCACTGTGCCCAGCCCAATTTTTTTTGATATGGAGTTTTTCTCTGATGCCCAGGTTGGAGTGCAGTGGCAGGATCTCAGCTCACTGTAGCCTCGGCCCCCAAGGCTCAGGTGATCCTCCCACTTCAGCCTCCTAAATAGCTGGGACTAGGGATGCAACCAGGCAGCATGGTGGCCTGAGCCTGTAGTCCTAGCTGCTTGAGAGACAGAGGCAGGAGTGTTGCCTGAGCCCAGGAAATCAAGGCAGCAGTGAGATATGACGACATTACTGCACGCCAGCCTGGGAGACAGAATAAGACTACATCTCCAAAATAAATACACAAATAAAATAAAAAACAAATAAAAACAGAAGAATGATCTCAAATAACAAGATGTTCAAAACTAATGATAATGATAATTTAGTTAATAATAGTTGAAATTAGTGAATCTCTATAAGGAAAATAACTGCTCTAATTAACTCCTTACCTGATCAAAATGGTCAGCTGAAAATTTTCTAATGGATTCAATGTCTTTCCTTTTGAAGTATTTCTGATGAAAGAAAAATCAAAGTAAACTTGTCAGTATGACACTTGGCTTCATAAACATGTTTATGCTATCAAATGACCAATATATTTTGTGTCTTCTATTATAATAATAAGATTTAATAAAAATTCAATGTCTTGGCTGGGCGAGGTGGCTCATGCCTGTAATCCTAGCACTTTGGGAAGCCAAGGTGGGTGGAATGCTTGAAGGTCAGGACTTGGAGACCACCCTGACCAACATGGTGAAAACCTGTCTCTACTAAAATACAAAAATTTTATAAAAATATAAAAATTAGTAGGGTACGGTGGTGGGTGCCTGTAGTCCCAGCTACTCAGGAGGTTGAGGCAGGAGAATCACTTGAACTCAGGAGGTGGCGGTTGCAGTGAGCCGAGATTGTGCCACTGTACTCTAGCCTGGGTAACAAAGCAACACTCCATCTCAAAAAAAAAAAAAAAAAAAATTCAATTTCTGCTGCCAAATGACACATTTTAAAGCGTGTTACAGTGCTTATTTTTTCCAGGTATGCATATCTTTTTTTTTTTTTTGACATGGCATCTAGCTCCATCACCCAGGCTGGTGTGTAGTGGCATGATCTTAGCACACTGCAACCTCTGCCTCCTGGGTTCAAGCGATTCTGCTGCCTATGCCTCCTGAGTAGCTGGGACTACAGGTGTGCACCGCCACACCCAGCTATTTTTTGTAGAGATGGGGTTTCATCATGTTGGCCAAGCTGGTCTTGAACTCCTGACCTCAGGTGATCTGCCCGCCTTGGCTTCCTAAACTGCTGATATTACAGGTGTGAGCCACTGTGCCTGGCAAGCAGCTTTTATTGGAAATGGCTGTGAATGTATTCCACAGAAGATCCTTTGTATATAATAAGCAGGATAAATGTTCAAAATGAATGTCTACAACTGAACTGTGAAAGAAAACTTTCAGACCAATAAGAGGATTCAGAATTTGATTATTGGGGGTTTCTTAAAATTCTACCCGTTTTGAAATTATCTCAATGTCTTTCAAGTGAGACACTATGGTTATCATGTTATATACCTCTAAAATGATCCAAACACACAGTTTGATGTTTTGGGGTGTATTCCCCCTCCCTTCGAGAGTGTGATGTCTAATCAGATCCCCTATGTGAGAACTTGGAGTGAATTCCCTCTTCTCCCGAGGAATGTTACCTCAAACCTTGTGTGAATTACTGACCTCAACTACTAGACTTCAAAAATACATATTAAGTTGAGTTTCGCAGACACTTGGATAGCACATGCTGTTACTGGCTATACTCTGTCAACTGCTTCTCCGAAAACCTAGAGATGGGTGACACCATTAGCCTTTCAGCTAACCTCTAAGGCTTGCCCACCCACACTGGCACTACCCTCTAACATGGAGGGACCTTAGGTGTAGTCTATACTGTGGTGGTCAAACCAGCTTCTCCCAAAAACTGCTCACATAAGAGTACACCTCGAACTTTAATTAGACTTTACTCTTCCCAGAGGCCTGCTTCCATTCTAATAGATCAAGTGGATTTTAATAATTTTGGAACTCACTATGTGGTTAATACACCTCAAATATTTAGTGTATTCCCTGTGAGGTTTGTTCATATTATTCTCTCTCTCCTTTTTTTTTGGAGATGGAGTCTCACTTTATCACCCAGGCTGGAGTGCAGTGGCATGATCTCGGCTCACTGCAACCTCTGCCTCCCGGGTTCAAGCGATTTTTCTGCCTCAGCCTCCCGAGTAGCTGGGACTACAGCACACCACCACACTCAGCTAATTTTTAAAATATTTTTAGTAGAGAAGGGGTTTCACCATATAGGCTAGGCTGGTCTCGAACTTCTGACCTTGTGATCCGCTCACCACGGCTTCCTAAAGTGCTAGGATTACAGGCGTGAGCCACTGCACCTGGCCCTTATTCTCTCTCTCTTTTAAGCATTGTGAACCTAAGAAAATATTTTCTTTGTATGACAGTAACCATGTGATTTGTGAAATCATACTTTGACCATTTTATTTCTACCATATACCATGCATCATTAACTATATTCATGCCTCATTTAACTAGGTGTGGGAGGTATAAAAAGATGAAAACATGATCCACACTCCTGTAGTTCTTATATCTACTTGAGGAAGAATGCACAAACTCAAAATGGTGTAAATAATAATAGACAAAATATTATACTGAGCTTACCTGAACATATATATATATATTTTTTAAGATGGAGTTTTGTTTTTGTTGCCCAGGCTGGAGTGCAATGGCACAATCTCCGCTTACCACAACCCCTGCCTCCCAGGTTCAAGCGATTCTCCTGCTTCAGCCTCCTGAGTACCTGGGATTACATGAATGTGGCACCACACGTGGCTAATTTTATATGTTTAGTGGAGACAGGGTTTTTTCATGTTTGTTAGGTTAGTCTTGAACTTCTGACCTCAGGTGATCTACCCGCCTTGGCCTCCCAAAGTGCTGGGATTACAGGTGTGAGCCACTGTGGCTGGCCTAGCCTGAACGTATTTATATCTGAACTAGAGTATGAAAAATAAATTACAGCCGGTCACGATGGCTCATGCCTGTAATCCCAGCACTTTGGGAGGTCGAGGCAGGTGGATCACGAGGTCAAGAGATCGAGACCATCCTGGTCAACATGGTGAAACCCGGTCTCTACTAAAAATACCAAAAAAAAAAAAAAAAAAGGCCAGGTACAGTGGCTCAAGCCTGTAATCCCAGCACTTTGGGAGGCGAAGGTGGGTGGATCGCGAGGTCAAGAGATCCGAGACCATCCTGGTCAACATAGTGAAACCCCGTCTCTACTAAAAATAAAAAAAAAATTAGCTGGGTATGGTGGTGCGTGCCTGTAATCCCAGCTACTCAGGAGGCTGAGGCGGAAGAATTGCCCGAACCCAGGAGGCAGAGGTTGCAGTGAGCCGAGATCGCACCATTGCACTGCAGCCTAGGTAACAAGAGCGAAACTCCAACTAAAAAAAAAAAAAAAAAAAAAGAAATTTATACCATTGTTTTAGAGTCAGTGCTTACTCAGTCCAACCATTCTCTCTCCGTCTCTCTTCTATCCCTACTTCCTCCCCTTCCTTTTTGCTTTATTAGCTCCATCTCCTTTTATTTCCCTGTTATTAATGCAGTTGAGATGAGAACCCTCAGAAGATCAAGAATCATGTGATGGGCATACTGGAGCTGATACAGGGCTAAGAGACAGACAGACAAACTGAGGCTGCAGAGAGATACTAAGTATTATTTTATGCTCACATACTATCCACAATGAAGTACATGAGTACTTCCTAGCATCATCTATTTACTTATTTATTTTTGAGACAGGGTTTTGCTCTGTCATCCAGGTTAGAATGTAATGGCACAATCATGGCCCACTTCAGCCTTGAACTCTTGGCCTCAAGTGATCCTCTGACCTCAATCTCTCGAATAGCTGGGACTACAGGTGTGAGCCACCACACCAGGTTAATTTTTGTTTTTTTTTGTTTTTTGTAGAGACAGTCTCTCTATGTTGCTCTGGCTGGTCTCAAACTCCTGATCTTAAGTGATTCTTTTGCCTTGGCCTCCCAGTGTTGGCACTACAGGCATAAGCTATTATGCCCGGCTTATAGTATTGTTTAAAAGGAAACAAAACAAAAAAAACCTCTCTGGATCTGGAATGTAAACTCATATTCATAAGATTTTATTGTTCTCAGGGCCAGGCGTGGTGGCTCACACCTGTAATCCCAGCACTTTGGGAGGTCGAGGCAGGTGGATCACGAGTTCAAGTGATCGAGACCATCCTGGTCAACAAGGTGAAACCCCGTCTCTACTAAAAATACAAAAAATTAGCTGGTCATGGTGGTGCATGCCTGTAATCCCAGCTACTCAGGAGGCTGAGGGAGGAGAACTGCCTGAACCCAGGAGGCGGAGATTGCGGTGAGCCGAGATTGCGCCATTGCACTCCAGCCTGGGTAACAAGACTGAAACCCCGTCTTAAAAAAAAAAAAATTATTGTTCTCTACTTATAGTTTTAGAAACACTTTTAGACACTTTTTTTTCACATGGAGTTTCACTCTTATTGCCCAGGCTGGAGTGCAATGGCATGACCTCAGCTCACTGCAACCTCTGCCTCCCAAGTTCAAGTGATTCTCCTGCCTCAGCCTCCCAAGGAGCTGGGATTACAGGTGCCTGCCACCATGCCTAACTAATTTTTGTATTTTTAGTAGAGACAAGGTTTCCCCCATATTTCCCAGGCTGGTCTTGAATTCCTGACCTCAAGTGACCCACCCGCCTCAGCCTCTCAAAGTGTTAGGATTTCAGGCATGAGCCACCACGCCCGGCAAAAATACTTATTTTTATTTAAAAAGAATTGTTCTTTCTGAAGTTCAAATATGACAGTGTTGAACATATTTACTTCCAAAGCATACATTCTAGAGAGACATAGAACTGTACTTCACTTACTGCTCCTTCAGGGATACATATGGCTTTGACAGTTCCATGGGGCTTACTAAGTGCATCTTGAAGAAATCCGATCTCTGTGTTTCTAAACACATCACTGATATCTATAATCTGGAAAATGAGTAACAAAAAGAGGTAACTAAATATGAAGTAATTTTTATCTGAAAACATTTAACAAACGATTTTAAAGAAGAGAATAGATCTTGATAATTTAACATTTATAGAATACATTCAAAGAGTATTTACCATGGGTTCAGCAATATGACCCATGTTTTACATATACTCATTCATTTCATCTTCACAAAACTATGAGGTTAGCACTCTTTATTATCCCTATTTCACAGATAAAACCAAGACACAGAGAAATAAGGAACTTGTCCAAGATGGCACAGCTAGTAAGTGGTAGAGCCAGAATTTAACCCAAGCAGTCTGAGTTAAGAACCATTATTCCAAGTCAGGTGCAGTGGCTTACACCTATAATCTCAGCACTTCGGGAGGCTGAGGTGGAAAGATCACCTGAGGTCAGGAGGTCAGCCTGGCCAACATGGTAAAACCCCATCTCTACTAAAAATACAAAAATTAGCCAATGTGGTGGTGCATGCCTGCAGCTCCAACTACACAGGAGGCTGAAGCAGGAGAATCGTTTGAACCCACGAGGAGGAGGTTGCAGTGAGCTGACATTGCACCCCTGCACTCCAGCCTGGGCAATAGGGTGAGACTCCATCTTAAAAAAAAAAACAACAACACAAAATCGCCAGGTACAGTGGCTCATGGCTGTAATCCTAGCACTTTGGGAGGCTGAGGAGGGCAGATCACCTGAGGTTGTGACTTCGAGTCCAGCCTGACCAACATGTGTGGTGGCGCATGCCTATAATCCCAGCTACTTGGGAGGCTGAGGCAGGAGAATCACTTGAACCCGGGAGGCAGAGATTGTGGTGAGCCGAGTTCACGCCATGGCACTCCAGCTTGGGGAAAAGCTCGAAACTCCATTTCAAAATAAATAAATAAATAAATAAATAAATACAAATAAAAAAAGAACCACTATTCCATATTACAAATGAAGAAACAAGAAGTAGTTGAGTTGGCTGCTGTAAGTTGGTAGTTACAATCTTTTGTATATTGTATTTTTTTCATTCTAAGCATTGAGCACTGACTATTCACAAACCAAGCAGAACTCAATTTCTTTTTTTTTTTTGAGATGGAGTCTCATTGTGTTGCCCAGGCTGGAATGCAATGGCAAGATCTCAGCTCACTGCAACCTCCACCTCCCAGGTTCAAACAATTCTCCTGCCTCAGTCTCTTGAGTAGCTGGGATTACAGGTGCGTGCCACCACACCTGACTAATTTTTTATATTTTTGGTAGAGACGGGGTTTCATCATGTTGGCCAGGCTGGTCTCAAACTCCTTACATCAAGTGATCCACCCACTTCGGCCTCCCAAAGTGCTGGGATTACAGGCGTGAGCCACCACACCCACCCTGCCGTACTCAATTTCAAAAGAATGTGCACTGAGAACTTAGATATAGAAATGTCACCAGCATTACAGAGATCAAGGGATATTGCTCTTTAAGAGCAAACAAGTAGAGGCCTGGTAATGAAACTGTTCTATATAAATTCTACCCCTGTCTTAAATACTTACAGATATTAATAATTTGAACAGATTGTCATGTTTGAGATTTTTATGGATCAAGTACACTTAATAATGCTTGGCTTTAAAAACATTGAAAAGGAAAGAATAGTTATTTTTTCTTCCAAATTACCCCTCATGTCCATATAATCAATAACTTGAAAGTAATAAAAACTTTATAGCAAGAATCTTGCTCTTGGAACTGGATCTTGAACATGATAGATATAAAGAAAGCACTGTAAGGCTAACATGCCATTATTCTCTCTTGCTTTAACTCTGTATCCACAAAGGTAACAAGGTAACAACAAAAATATCATCTAACCTTGTGTAACATTTGTCAATTTCAAAGTGGTTTAAAAAGATTGCAGGAGTATTTGGGGATAGAGTCCTAGAAAAGTGAAGAAATGTACCTTCATTCCAAAGCGAGTATCAGGTTTATCAGTTCCATAGGTGGCCAGCGCCTCAGCAAAAGTCATAGAAGGAAAAGGAACAACCACAGGGTTTTTGTCATTGGGCCAGGAATACTGAAGCAAACCCTCAATTAAACTCTGGATCCCAGTCTGGTCTACAAAAGACATCTCTATGTCAATCTGAAAGCAAAGTAACATATGGAAACTAACTTAGCCACAGTATATACACATTTATATATTTTTCTGTTTTCAAGTTACTATGGAATTCTGTACATAAACAATACATGGGGAGGGTATCAATATTATTGGACATCTTTTTTATGTCAGACACTGTCCTAATGGCCTTACATACATTAACTTGTTTAGTTCCCACAACTGTCTCATGGCTGAAGACTCAGAGAACTAAATTACTTGTTTGCATATGTGTAATTACTAAGTAGTGAAGCTACATTTCATCCCAGGTCTGTCCAACTCCAAAGCTCGTAATTTTCTCACTTTACCACATTGATTAAAATGCTGTCAGCTTGGGGGTGGTAGCTCAAGCCTGTAATCCCAGCATTGGGGGAGGCCCAGGCAGGTGGATCACGAGGTCAGGAGATGGAGACCATCCTGGCCAACATGCTGAAACCCTGTCTGTAAAATATGGCAAGGTTTCTCTTCAAACAGGCTGATCCTTTAATTCCCAGTACCCCCAACTCCTCTCTTTCTTCTTCTTTCCTTTTTTCTGCTTTTACTACATGCCCAGATATACCACAGCACCAATGGTGCTATCAGCATCAGCTCACATTCCATTCCTTATTTGGGAAAAGACTGGCCCTCTAGCTTGCCACAGACCACCCCTTTCCCCTCTCCCCTCTCTCCCTTCCGTACCCACCTTATCTGAGAAAAAGTTTAAATGTTTAGCCTATCAGGTCTAGTTCATATTGTGTCGTCCAACCCCAGCCAATGGGGAAAGGGCATGGGGCAGGATTTGCATCAGTAATCAAAACTTTCTCTCTCCTTTGTTCTATGTGCTGCTCTCTTGTGGCAATATGAGGCACACCCCTCTGGGCAGAAGTAAATTTGCTTTGCTGAGAAATCCTTTCTCTGAGTGCTCATTTTCCTTACAACTCTGAGCTTTATTTATAACACTGCCTTTACTAAAAATACAAAAATTAGCTGGGTATGGTGGTGCGTGCCTGTAGTCCCAGCTATTCGGGAGGCTGAGGCAGAACAATCTCTTGAACCTGGGAGGCAGAGGCTGCAGTGAACTGAGATCATGCCACTGCACTCCAGCCTGGGCGACAGAGTGAGATTCCCTCTCAAAAAAAAAAAAAAATCATAAAATAAAATAAAATAGGGCCAGGCACGGTGGCTCACGCCTGTAATCCCAGCACTTTGGGAGGCCGAGGCGGGTGGATCACGAGGTCAAGAGATCGAGACCATCCTGGTCAACATGGTGAAACCCCGTCTCTACTAAAAATACAAAAAATTAGCTGGGCATGGTGGTGCGTGCCTGTAATCCCGGCTACTCAGGAGGCTGAGGCAGGAGAATTGCCTGAACCCAGGAGGCGGAGGTTGTGGTGTGCCGAGATCACGCCATTGCACTCCAGCCTGGGTAACAAGAGCGAAACTCCGTCTCAAAAAATAAAAAATAAAATAAAATAAAAAATAAAATAAAATGCTATCATACAGAAAGCAAATCATAATAGCTTTGGTAAGTGCACATATTAGAAAGATTAAAATATCAATATATAGAACTATTCGTTCTCAATAGATAAGAGATTTGTTTTAAGGACCTTATCATGAACATTAGAATGCTTTAGGAATTTCTGGCATTCCTTAGTTGCTGACTATACTCTTTATGGAAAGGACACATGCTCACTTTGGCAGCACATATACTAAAATCTGAATGACAGTGTGGCCCCTGTGCTATCCAAGGAAAGATAAACATTTTAAAAAGGACACGTGAAATGGATAAAAAAAACTGAATAGTTTCTCGACTGTAGGTGAGTTTAATTAAATAGCTGATGGATAAAATGTAATGAGAAGTAAAGTATTAATATATAAAATTACTGCACTAGTCTTGAAAATACTATTTTCAAATTAGCCTGAATTTTAAGAAACAAGTGAATATAACTGTACCTGCGTAAACTCAGGCTGTCTGTCTGGTCTTGAACCTTCATCTCGATAACATCGGGCAACCTGAAAATATCTACAATTGAGAAATAGCATTAACTGAGTTAATTTTAAACTAATACACACTTTTTCCCAAAAGTTTAAGGAAATGCAGGCTATAAAATAATGATACCTAAAAAACATAAGAAATACTTTTATTTTTCATGACGTTTTAATTGAATTAGATATATAGCTGACCTATGAGAAGTTAACTATTCTATATATTGTTTTCAAAATAAACACCAGCACCTCTGGATATTCATATATTAGACTGGCATGCAAATCAGTCCATGCCAGTTCTTTTTATTAAAACATTTTTTTTTAGTCCATGCTTCTTCACATACACTCTTTTGCTTTGGCCAAAGTGAAATACTTACTGTGCCATGGATACACTTCAGACTTTCTGTGCTATGTCATTCCAACTCTTCTTTTTTTTTTTTTGAGACAGAGTTTCGTTCTTGTTACCCACCCAGGCTAGAGTGCAATGTCACGATCTCGGCTCATCGCAACCTCCACCTCCTGGGTTTAGGCAATTCTCCTGCCTCAGCCTCCTGAGTAGCTGGGATTACAGGCACGCGCCACCATGCCCAGCTAATTTTTTTTTTTTTTGTATTTTTAGTAGAGACGGGGTTTCACCATGTTGACCAGGATGGTCTCAATCTCTTGACCTCGTGATCCACCCGTCTAGGCCTCCCAAAGTGCTGGGATTACAGGCTTGAGCCACCGTGCCCAGCTGCCAATTCTTATCTTTACCTGCTGAAGCATAGATTTATCCTCAAAGGTCTAGCTCACAAAGTTTTCTATATTTCCTCAAACAATATAATTTTAAAGCTCTTAACACCTCATTTGCAAATCTCAATATATTTATGTTTTGGTTTATGTCACAGATGGTTTTATTCATGATCCTATTCTGGCTTACCAGCCTTAACACCTTGAGAGCAAAAAGGGGATTTTTAAAAAATCCCCTCTTATATCTACTAGCATAGAGCTTTGTACATGGTGGCCACCCAATAAATCTTTAATAAATAATGACTACAAATTATGAGGGTATATAATATAAGTATTCTCCAAACTCTCATACATTTTCCATCCTTCTCTTGAGAACAGAGAGGATTTTGTGTTTCCTTTCTTCCCTTTGTTTTTCTCTTTTCCTTTTCTGACAATGTCTAGCATTAAAAAAAAGCCCACCTGTCTAAACCGCCAACCATCAGAAGTTGCTTGAATTGTTGAGGACTCTGAGGGAGAGAATAAAACTTTCCAGGTTCCCTGGATGGTACTAAAAACTCTTTGGCACCCTTTCAAAGAGAGAGAGAGAGGAGACAGATTATTAAAAGAAAAAAAACCCAAAAAAACCCAAGGTATGATTGACTAGTAGAAGTTGTTACTTCAGTTTATCAATGAATGACTAAAGAACAAAGTTCCTACAAAGACAGAGATAATTTCTCACTTATCTTAGAGTCCCTAAAAAGGCTTGCACACAATAGGCTTTAAACACCATTGCCTGGGTAGGTGGTAAGTTTATGCTTGTTGAAATGAATTTCCAATTCTGTTACAAGCTGAATGAATTTTGTGTCTCATTTCTTATCCACGTAGTTAGTTCCTAATTGCATTTCCAAATTAAACTGTAGTTTTATAATTTCACAGACTAGATAAATCGAGTAAATATCAATGTTTAGAAATGTCCATTTTTTTTTTTTTTGAGATGGAGTCTTGCTCTTGTTGCCTAGACTGGAGTGCAGTGGCACAATCTCAGTTCACTGCAACCTCCACCTCCCGGGTTCAAGCACTTCTCTTGCCTCAGCCTCCCAAGTAGCTGGGATTACAGGCATCTGCCACCATGCCTGGCTAATTTTTGTATTTTTAGTATTAACAGGGTTTCACCATGTTGTCCAGGCTGGTCTCAAACTCCCGACTTTGTGATCCACCCGCCTCGACCTCCCAAAGTGCTGTGATTACAGGTGTAAGCCACTGTGCCTAGCCAGAAATGTCCATTTTTATTTATTAAAAAAAATTCTTTTTTGAGACAGTCTCACTCTGTTGCCTAGGTTGGAGTGCAGTGGCACAATCTTGGTTCACTGAAAACTTTGCCTCCTGGATTCAAGCGATTCTCTTGCCTCAGCCTCTCGAGTAGGTGAGATTATAGGTGCCCATCATTGCACCTGGTTAATTTTCTTATTTTTATTAGAGACAAGGTTTCACCATGTTGGCCATGGTTGGCTAGGCTGGTCTCGAACTCCTGACCTCAGGTATCTGCCCACCTCGGCCTCCCAAAGTGCTGAGATAATAGGCATGAGCCACAGCGCCTGGCCAAGAAATGTCAATTTTTACTATGTAAGAAATTTGTTCTTAAAAAATCTTTTTTTTCTTTTCCATTTTTTTTTTTCTTTAAAGAGGGTGTCGCTATGTTGCTCAAGCTGGTCTTGAACTCCTGGGCTCAAGTGATCCTCCTTGCTTCAGCCTCCCAGTACTGAGACTACATGTGTGAGCCACTGAGCCTGGCCAGGAGATTTGTTCTTAAAGAATCAATTCATTGGCCTGGTGCACTGGCTCACACCTGTAATGCCAGCACTTTGAAAGGCTGAGGTGGGTGACTTACTTGAGGTCAGGATTTCAAGACCAGCCTGGCCAACACGGCAAAACTCCATCTCTACTAAAAATATACAAAAATTAGCTGGTCACGGTGGTGCGCGCCTACTCAGGAGGCTGAGACATGAGAATCGCTTGAATCTGGGAGGCAGAGGTTGCAGTGAGCTGAGATCATGCCACTGCACTCTAGCCTGGGTGACAGAGTGAGACTCTTGTCTCAAAAAAAAAAAAAAAAACCCAAAACAAAACAAAAAACAAACAAAAAAACTCGAAAGAAAACTTACGTGGAATAAAACAATTCTGACTCAAAATACCCAAATAATTTTCTCAATTCTTCAGGAAAACCTAGTTAATATGCCCATCCTGAGGCAGTGAATAAAATAAAAGTGGATCCAGTGAATATAAAAGCAAAGTGGTCTAGCTTTATAACTAATAGGACATTATTAATAGACTGATTGAAGGAATACACATACCCCTGGGGTCCTCTTAAACAGTGTTGGAGTTTCTATATCCACAAACCCTAAAAAGAGAGAAACATTATCATTTAGTAGATAGGAATGTAAAATTTGTCATATATGATGTCCACAATATAGTACAACAAATCTGAGGCTTCCCTTTAATCAGGAATTTTAGCTGAAATAAGCTACCAAGCTTACTGATGCTGGTTTTAAAAATCTAAGAAGGAAGATGAAGATTTTCATACATACTATTCTGTTCATAAAGCATACTGTACACATAAAATAATTCTAAATATTTAATGGATTCTTGTCTACTAAACGGTTCTGATCTTTTAAATGTTCTGTTAGTGTAGAAATAACACAAATATAGCAGAAAAAGTCCAGGACTGAATGAGATTTCTAGTTTAATTCACATGACATTTTTGAGCTCCCAATAAATGATGTATGTGCATGATAAAGAATTAAGACTGGTCAGGTATGGTAGGTCATGCCTGTAATCCCAGCACTTTGGGATGCTTAGGTGGGAGGATTGCTTGAGCCCAGAAGTTTGAGACCAGCCTGGGCAACATAGTAAGACCCTGTCTCTATAAACATTTTTAAAAAATTAGCTGGGTATGGTGGTGCACATCTATGGTCCTAGCTACTCGGGAAGATGTGATAGGAGGATCACTTGAGTGTGAAAGGTTGAGGCTGCAGTGAGCTGTGGTCATCCTACTGCACTCTAGCCTGGGCAACAGAGTGAGATTCTGCCAAAAAAAAAAAAAAGATTTCTTAATTCTTCTTTTTTTTTTGAGACAAAGTCTTACTCTTGTCCCCTAGGCTGCAGTGCAATGGTGTAATCTCAGCTCACTGCAACCTCTGCCTCCTGGGTTCAAGCCATTCTCCTGCCTCAGCCTCCTGAAGAGCTGGAATTACAGGCGCTTGCCACCACACCCGGCTAATTTTTGTATTTTTAGCAGAGACGGGGTTTTACCATGTTGGCCAGGCTGGTCTTGAACTCCTAACCTCAGGTGGTCTGCCTGCCTTTGCCTCCCAAAGTGCTGGGATTACAGGTGTGAGCCACCATACTCAGCCAAGAAATCTTACAGAAGTTTGGGTGTGCAGGGTGGTTTACGCCTGTAATCCCAGCACTTGGTGAGGCTGAGGCGGGTGAATCGCCTAAGGTCAGGAGTTTGAGACCAGCCTGGCCAACATGGTGAAACCCTGTCTTTACTAAAAATACAAAAATTAGCTGGGTGTGGTGCCAGGCACCTGTAATCCCAGCTACTCAGGAGGCTGAGGTGAGAGAATCCCTCGAACCAGGAGGTGGAGGTTGCAGTGAGCCAAGATTGCACCATTGCACTCCAGCCTGGGCAACAAGAGTGAAAACTCTATTTCAAAAGAAAAAAGAAATCTTTTTTTTTTGGAAATGGAGTTTTGCTCTTGTTACCCAGGCTGGAGTGCAATGGTGCTATCTTGGCTCACTGCAACCCCCGCCTCCTGGGTTCAAGCAATTCTCCTACCTCAGCTTCCTGAGTAGCTGGGACTACAGGCGCGCGCCACCATGCTCGGCTAATTTTTTTGTATGTTTAGTAGAGACAGGGTTTCACCATGTTTACCAGGATGGTCTCGATCTCTTGACCTTGTGATCCACCTGCCTTGGTCTCCCAAAGTGCTGGGATTATAGGTGTAAGCCACTGTGCCCGCCAGAAAAAAGAAACCTTATAGAAAAAGCCAAAGGGCTGTCCTGCCTTTGACAATGATGGAAAATACTGTAATACATTAATCAATGTAATAGCCACTATCATCTTTATCATCTTCAAAATAATGTTAACTTTTCTTCAAAAACTACATTACACATTGAGAGAATTCCAGACTTCTGGCAACATCTGATTCCAATGATCCTAAGGAAAGGATACAATAAAACTGCTGAATAAAATAGAAGTGATGCTAAAAAGCTCCAAAGAGCATCCAGGCATTTCTCTTACCATGCAGATTACAGAGATATTCCCGCATTTTCATGACCATCTGGGACCTCAGTCGCAGGTTATACTGCATTTGGAAACTACGCAAGTCTAAGTAGCGATACTGCAACCGAAGAGCCTCTGTTTTCTAAAGAAAGTGATAGATTTTGATATTTAAATATTTTTGAATATTAGAAAGGTATTATCTTTAGAAACAGAGTTTGAATTTTCAAAAACTTTAGCTCTGTCTTTAGTTTCCATCATTAAGTAGCTCACTGTATGCTCTTTCCATTTGTGTATATAATACCATCCTTAATTCCTACAACTTCTAAGTTTGTCATTAGTACAGATTTACATTTTTTACTATTCATTATTATGAACATTACTCATCACTGACTAAAATTTGCCTACTTTACCAAACACGTATCCATTAATTTAAGTCCATGGTTGAGTCTTGAAAAAAAAATTTTTTTTTTTTTTGAGACGTAGTTTCGCTCTTGTTACCCAGGCTGGATAGAGTGCAATGGCCCGATCTCAGCTCACCGCAACCTCTGCCTCCTGGGTTCAGGCAATTCTCCTGCCTCAGCCTCCGGAGTAGCTGGGATTACAGGCATGCGCCACCATGCCCAGCTAATTTTTTTGTATTTTTAGTAGAGATGGGGTGTCACCATGTTGACCAGGATGGAAAAAAATTTAAAGATTTTGAAGATCTCTCAAAAAAAAAAAAAGAACAGCACCACATGCTGTATCTGGGCATAGTGGCATGTGCCTATATAATCCTGGCTACTTGGGATGCTGAGGTGGGAGGATCACTTGCGCCCAGGAGTTTGAGGCCAGCCTGGGCAACAGAGTAAGACCCCATCTCCTAAAAAAAAAAAGATACATCAGAGTAGAAGATTCACCTGAATGGGATGCTGACTACACGTGTAAAGAACGCAAGGGGACAGTGGTTGGAATCTCCATGGCTGCACTAATAGAAACAGTTTGCTTATTTTAAGGTTGTAAATCTCTGCAACCCTCTTTGACATGAAAACCTAAGAAGTGTCTATAACTTCTCTTTTTGAATGATTATCTGGGGAAAACTGTATATTTTCTTTTTTATAATAAGGTCAGCTGTATAATTATATTGCTCTTTCTAATTAGATAATTAAGTATTGGGAACTTAAATGTAAGACTAACTGGCCATGAAGTGAATTTAAAAATCCCTTAATAGATCAGTTTAAAAATTAGGAATATATAAGTCTATAAACTGTGACAAGGCTGAAAATCATATGAGTGTATAGCTCCATCAACCTCTTAAACTTTGGCAAAGAACATCTTAAATTATAGTAATCCTATTTATAAGTATATGCTTGGGAAGTCAAGAGTTGCTCTAAGCATACATTTTACCACTTAATAGGTATAGGATCCACTATGCCATTTGGCCACTTCTAAGCTAGACATAAATTTCCTTTCAAATGTTAAACAACAGCAACAAAAAAACTTAAATAATATAACACCTCAAGTCTTAAAGAGAGAATCACATTTTAATCTGTCTGAAAAAAAAGTCTAGGTATTTAGGGACTGCAACAGTTTAATGAACTGGCACTATTTCACAACAGTTTGTCAAGAAGTTGTAGAAGTAAGAGAATGATTTATGGTATGTCTACAATAAAATGTTTAATTTTGTAGAAGTTAAACTTTTCTTTAAAAAAACTTGGAAAACACTTGATTAGTCATCATTTTCTAGATACTTAATTGATAACAGAGGATGGTACCTTCATGAAGTCCTTAATTTCAAAGGGCAGCTTCTTGCAGGCATTCAGAAGCTCAGCTGTTTTAACTTTGATTTCAATCTCACCTGTTGGCATTTTCTTAGAGAGTGAGAGAGAAGTGTTTTAAAAATTACTCATCAAGACATACACAAAACACATTTGTAGAACATATGCATTTACTTACATATGTAATATGTGCAAAGTCCTTATAGTGTGTAGTGTAAGGTATAAAACACACATGTCTATGCATGATTTTGACATTCTTATGTATATCTGTGGCTGGTGTGCTCAGGTATCAACAAATGTCAGGACACATCCTTGCAGTTCGATACTTGGGAAACCGAGACAAGAGGAACGCTTAAGCCCAGAAGTTCAAGACCAGCTTGGGCAATACAGCAAGACGCCTGCCTCAAAAAAAAAAAAAAAAAAGTCTTAGCATGCATATTTATATAGGCGTGTGTGTTTGTAGTAAAGATTTGAAATCTGTAGGTTCATTTGTAGATTTAAACTTTAGTACCTAATGTCCAATAGGTGCTCAGTCTGTGCTGCCTGAATGTGTACACAGACAGTGAAAATGCATACAAGCAAAATTTACATAGATATTTTCTAAACTACTTACTGGATTCTCTTGTCCTGCAGGACGGGAAATGACTGTACCAGACACTTGCACCACAGATTCCATAGGGGCTTCACATAAAATCTTCCTCACAGAGGCTGCCGACTACACAACAAGGGGTGAAAAGAGTTCCAAGAGACATATGAACTTACAGGAATCTTAAGTAATTGTAAGTCTATGGTTTAAAAAAAATTAATAGTCATAGCTTAATTACCATAAAGACTGGGGCTGCCCCTTAATGACTTTATTACTGAAGTTAGTAAAAACTGCGTCTCCATTTTGACTCTATGTAATGCAGCAAGTAAAACTATTAGTTAAGAGCTTTAAAAAAACTTTACAGCCAGGCGTGGTGGCTCATGCTTGTAATTCCAGCACTTTGGGAGGCCGAGGTAGGTGGATCACCTGAGGTCAGGAGTTCGAGACCAGCCTGACCAACATAGAGAAATCCTGTCTCTCCTAAAAATACAAAAAATTAGCCAGGTGTGCTGGCACATTTGCGTAATCCCAGCTACTTGGGAGGCTGAGGCAGGAGAATCATCTGAAGCTGGAAGGCGGAGGTTGCGGTAAGCTGAGATGGCACTATTGCACCCCAGCCTAGGCGACAAGAGGGAAACTCCATCTCAAAAAAAAAAAAAAAAACTTTCCTTAAAGGAAAATAAGAAGAATGACCATTATTTATGCAAACAATCCCACATACTTGAAAAGTCATTGTCTCCAGGATTAGTCTTAGGGGCAGTTAAATCCAATAGCAATAATGGCTCAAAGTCAAAGGAATTCTTCCGAGTTAGCTATACTCATCTCTGGATGCTGATCCTTACAACACAATTCATTGCTCTTTACTCATTTCAAAACTTAAGAGCTGAATAAGTAATATTTTCTTAGGCATGCAAGCATTAAGTAAAAATTACAATAGAACCCAACTTTGCCCAATAAGTATGATAGAAGTTCTTTTTTTATCTAATTCTTTAATTTTAATTTTTTTTTTTTTTTTTTTTTGAAACAGGGTATCACTCTGGTTGCCCAGGCTGGAGTGCAGTGGTATGATTTTGGCTCACTTCAGTCTCTACCTCCTGAAGGTAGAGACTTCAGGTGATTCTCCCAACTCAGCCTCCCAAGTAGCTGGGACTACAGATGCACGCCACCACATCCAACTAATTTTTTGTGTTTTCAGCAGAAATGAGGTTTCACTATGTTACCCAGGCAGGTCTTGAACTCCTGAACTCAAGCAATCTGCTGGCCTTGGACTCTCAGATTGCTGGGATTACAGGTGTGAACCACCATGCCTGGCCTTGAATTTTTTAATAAAAAAAAATTTTTTCTTCAGAATATCATTCTGTCATATTTTATCTAATTTTGATGGTAATTAAATTAAATACTTTTTTGAGCAGGTAGTACCTTCACATGGCTTCAAATTCAAAGGGTGCAAAAAGATATAGTGAAAAGTTTCCCTCCTATCCTTGTCTTCAAGGCCCTCAGTTCCTTCCCCAATAAACACTCAATGTTACCAGATACTTAGGTATCCTTCCAGAGACATTTCATAACATATATACAAGCAAATACACACACACACACATACACACATTTTGAATATATATTCTGCTTCCTTCCCCTATTTGTTATACAGATGACGGCACTTAGAGTGCTGGAGTTTAATAGCTGCTCTTCTGTATACTCAAGAATAGAGGGTTCTTCACTGAACAGTATTCCTTGGATTTTTTTCTCCCTATTAGAACTTCTTCGTTCTTTTTTGTATGGCTGAGCAGAGTATCCTATTGTAAGAATATACATTATTTTTTAAGTCAGTCTTTTATTGGAGGACATCTAGGTTGTTCCCCAATTTTTTCTATTAAAAAGAATCCTGAAGTGAATATCCTTGTACATATGTCATTTTGCATCTGTATAAGTCTAGGTATAAGAAAATTTACTGGCTGGGTGCAGTAGCTCATGCCTGTAATCCCAGCACTTTGGGAGGTCGAGGCAGGTGAATCACGAGGTCAAGAGATCATGACCATCCTGGCCAACATGGTGAAACCCCATCTCTACTAAAAATACAAAAATTAGCTGGGCGTGAGTCCCAGCTACTTGGGAGGCTGAGGCAGAAGTTGCAGTGAGCAGAGATTGTGCATCTGCACTCCAGACTGGCAACAGAGTGAGCTTCCATCTCAAAAAAAAAAAAAAAAAAGATAATTTACCAGAAGTGGAGTTAATGGCTCAAAGGATATATGCATTTATAGTTTTGATATTGGCAAATTGCGCTCCCCTTAGCTAGTGCCAATTTGTACTCCCTCCAGGGATTGAACACCTGCTTTCCCAAACACAGTGTGTTGTCAATGTAACGTGTTAAAAATGACAATTACATGCAGTTTTAAATCGTATTTATCTATCTGTGAGTGAGCCTGGCCATACTTTCATTATGTCTACAAGCCATCTATATATTTTTTCCTCTAAATTTTTTGTTAATATCCTGGGTTCATAATTATTATTTTTTTCTTTTTATTTTCTTCACTGAGAAACCTGGGTTCGTAATTCTACTGGGTCACTGGTCTTTTTGCCATGTCTTAATATTGCTTCTGACATTTTGCGGTTTTCATTAACAATAAACTTCTGAATATAAAGCCTCAAACATATTCATTTAACTGCTTAGCTTACCCTAGCCACAGCATCAAAGAGGCTTAGATAATGACAGGAAATTTTCTATTACCTCATCCTGGGGAATGATAACTTGAACAAGCCCATGGAAATCTCTTAGGACCAAGAATGTGTTTTGCCTGATTAATGGAAAGAAAAAAAGGAATATTTAAAGGTAAAATCTCTAAGCCTAAAGTTTAAGCACACAAAACAAATAACAAAAATCCATGCAATTTCTCATGTTTCTTTTTTATGATAATTATGTACTTTTTTTTTTTGTGAGATGGAGTTTCACTCTGCCCAGGCTGGAGTGCAGTGGCGTGATCTCACCTCCCTGCAACCTCTGCCTCCCAGGTTCAAGCAATTCTCCTGCCTCAGCCTCCTGAGTAGCTGGGATTATAGGCACACGCCACCAGGCCCAGCTAATTTTTTATATTTTTAGTAGAGACGGGGTTCCACCATGTTGTCCAGGTGTCTCGAACTCCTAACCTCGTGATCTGCCCGCCTCGGCCTCCCAAAGTGCTGGGATTACAGGCATGAGCCACTGTGCCCGGCCTGGCCTGATAATTATGTACTTTCATTAGTTACATTTCATGTAGTTGTAATCTATGTAGTTCATTGATGAAAAATGATTGTTTTTTATTTGTCTCAATTTTTATCATCTACTTATATGGCTTATTAATCTTATACAGATGGCTTATTAACAAAAAAGTATTATAGATTGAAAATTTTAAAAAAATTTTCATTGGCTTAAGTCCTTATAAGAAAATTTTATTAAATTTGGAAATTTTGCATATAGTAAAATCTAAAGATAGTATTTTAGGATAATAGAAGCATCTGATGGATCATTTTAAAAATACAGCAATATAAAGTCCTTTTCTAAGATACAATCTAAAATTTTCTGGAAGAGTTCCAACTGCTAATTTAATACCTCTCTATGAATCATCAAAAAGTCCCAGAAATGCTAACATTTTAACATTCAACCTCTATTTCTCATACTGTCCTCAGTACCAGGAACAGGTACAGAAAGCCTCTTTGGATTTGGGTTCAGGAAACGAAGTCACTAAACTTATGGGTTAAATATCCACCTACTTCGGATATATTCTTCTTCTTCTTTTTTTTTTTTTTTGAGATGCTCTGTAGCCCAGCCTGGAGTACAGTGGCGTGATCTCTGCTCACTGAAACCTTTGCCTCCCAGGTTCAAGCAATTCCCTGCCTCAGCCTCCCAAGTATCTGGATTACAGGCACCTGCCACCACACTGGGCTAATTTTTGTATTTTTAGAAGAGACAGGGTTTCCCATCTTGGCCAGGCTGGTCTTGAACTCCTGATCTCATGATCCACTTGCCTTGGTCTCCCAAACTGCTAGGATTATTGCATGAGCCACTGTGCCTGGCCTGGACATATTCTTTAAGAAGATCATATAACCTACGTATCTTAGATCTCTCGTCAATGTGAATTAATGTACTATTCAGGAATGTTCTGTAATAGAGAGATGAACAACAACAAAAAATGGGCTCTGATCCTAAGGAATCACTGTTTATGTTTCTAGGCTTGCTCTCTACCTAAATTGAATAAAATGAATGAGCTTTTCCCCCATGCTATTGGAGTTTAACAGCTGGTTTACAGGAGGCTGGCCTATTTTTAATTACTGGTCATAGGAACTCTTCAGTCTTAGTAAGCCCAGTGTCATTTCAGTCCACTGGTGGATCAAGCTTTATTGTTATACCCTTCAATAGATGTTACTGGTACCTACTAAGAATGACACTCTGTCACCTGGGTCTTTCAAAACTAAAACAAAGTTGAAAATTCAGTAAGTTCTTAATCCTGCAGGAGTTGCAAAATGTTTTATTCTTTGGACTGGTTGTAAATTAGTAAAGGTTTGGAATTGCCCTGGGGAAACAACTGCTATGCATTCTTAGACTGTCTTCCTCAATCAATTTACCTTCGGTACTGAATCCATCCACACAAGGTGACTTCTTGGCCTAAGTGAGATGAACGCAGCTCTCCACATGTGTTGGTCCGGACAACAAAGCTACTGAATTCTTAAAAAAAAAAATAAAAGAAGCTTTAAAAGGCAAGATTTAAAATACATCACTTGCAGGTTGCTTAAAAATAAAAATTCTCAAAGTACATCTTAGGTAAGTTAGGGAACAGGTGAAATTTATAAAATAAGTCAGAGTATGTAATTTAATTCACTCGCTATTAAATTTACCTGCAACGTATCAAAAGCCAAGTGAATAACTGAATGTAAATTTCTGTCTTGTGTTAGGAAATCTAAATTTTTTGGATCACCTGGCATTTGCATTGATTTAAATCCTAATTACCCAAATCTTAGTATTTCACATTTCTTCTCCAAATGAAATAGGATTTTAGAAACTGCAGAAATGGATGGTGCAGGAACTATTTAGTTTTAATATGAATCCAGCGTTTAGCAGCCACTTGTACACTAGAAAACACTATTTTAATTCTGTGAAAAAGGATTTTTTAAGGTATCAACCAAAAGCTGAGTATTCTATATATTATGTGGTTACCTTTTTATGGTCTTTCTAAAAACTCAGGGAAAAAAAACCTGCATTATAATGACTGAAGAGAGTGAACGACCTGCTTCTACACTTAAGGCTATCCAGTTAAGAACTGGGGGCGGGGAATGAAATAAAAGCTCTCTGGCCGTAGATAACAGACTGAAGTACTGTTCATAGAACAGATCTCTTCGCTATTTTCACCTGGATTTCTCCTCTGTGAACTCAGCACCAGACTTCTGGAGAGAGAACCCCATATGGGTTGGGTGGTCCTTCTAATGGGTCTGGATAAACCCCTGTACAGCTGACTTAACCAAGAAGGGAAGTACATGTTGGAGCCACAGGATGACGAAAAGCAGTCACGAATCCCACGCTGCCGGTAGTTAAATGTCGGTTTTGGAGATACAGAAATCCCTTAAAATTTCAGGAGTTTCCACTCTCTTCTCGAATATTTTAAGTCCTCCTCCGCACAACATTCGAGTACACGTGTCTAGAAACAAGACAAATCTGCAAGTTCTTTGGGGCCCCTGATGGGGTGGAGATAAGGGAAAGACCTTTCCCCGAGTCTTAAAGCGTTAGTTTCCACTTCTATTCAACAAGTCAACAGCCAAAAGTGACGACGAGAGAGCGACTCCACGTAGCAGGGCCAGGCGCGAGCCCAAGACAACCCAGAGGCTGTCATGAGGCCCGCGCCCTTTCTTTCTATGCTTCCCGACAGGCTCCCGCTACCAGAACCGGGAAACAAGGAGGAATAGTCTCGCGTTTCAAATTTCGCAGACCTGCTGACCGATCTTGAGCCTTCTGAAAGAGGAAGGCGAACAAAGCCAAAATGCAAAATGCTCCTAGGGCCGGAACCCACACACAGATCACCGCTGAGGTCCAAGCGCCCTTCAATCGGCCCGCTAATGCAGATGATTACGGGGAAGGAATTCAACGAATCAGTGCCGAGTTGCCGCCGACATGCTTACTAAGGGCGGAAATTTGAGAGAAAGCTTCGCACCGGTAGAAAAACTGACGACCAACAGAGCAGAATTGGAAAGGTTGGCGACAGTCGTTAAGTGGCTCGGCCTTGCCCTCAGTTAAAATGGCAATTTTAGTTGCTTCACTGTTACGGAATAGGCGGGGCGCCAAGGAGGTTTCCTGTGTGGGGCCGCAGAGCGAGTCGGGAAACTATTTTAAACTGTGGAGGCGGTGGAGGGCCGAATTGCCGTTTCTCCATGACGTGATTTCAGAGCTGGCCTGGGCTCTGACAGGGTCGTCCGGAGAGGGACAGGTTGGGACGCACTGTCCTTTTGCCCTTCCCCCTCCGCGAGCAGAAGCTGACTCCGCTGGAGCGAGGGTCGCAGAGTTGGGTGAGCGGAAATGTCCCTCCCAGAGTGAAGTCTCAAGGCCCGCCCCGCGTCTGAGGGCGCGGAGGTCTTCCTGGGCGCGGTTGTGTCTCTGGTGAACTCACTTGCTGTGGAGCGAGAGGGAATTTGGGAAAGCCAGGGGTTACTCTGGCATCTCCCTTAGCTGTCATTTGGTGTTTTTTTTCTTTTTTTTTCCTTCAGGGGATTTCAGTCTCGACATAGTTTTGTAGCCGGACTTTGAAGAATGATTCGTGAATCCCCAATGGGTGACAGCGTCATTACGGCATTTTATTGGTAAAGATGCTTTGTATTGGTCTAGGACCTGCTTTAAACTTTGTATTTGCTCTGTCGTGTGGTCATTATCTTCACTCTACTTGTGTGTTGAGGTGTGTTTACACACTACGTGCTTAACACCCGGCTAAGTATTGGCACTGGGGCGGTTGGATTTAGATATTGGTGGCAATGTAGAAAAGTGATCAAGTCAGAGCCCTTTCACGGACTAACCACAAGAGAAATAAGAAAGCTTTACGTGTGTACTTCCACAACTGCAAGTGGAATTGGCAAGAGAACTAGTCCTGCTAAGCTCTGGAAAACTCCTGATGAGATGGCACTTGGAAAATGGATAACGTGGTCACACAAATGGGAGTAGGGAAGTATTTTTAATTGGCGATAAGGTGAATAAAAAGGCAGGAAGAGCAGTAGGGTGATCATCTATCTAGAGTACCGTGTGCATGTTTGGATATAGGAAAGTGATTTTTAACCTTTTAAATAATTGTCTACTGGAACCTTCTTCACTCCCACTTTCCGCCCCTGCCCCCCCCTCCGACCCCCCCAGTGTTGTATACAAAAACCTTAGGGGGATTATATGCAGAATGTTGGATTTTGGAAAGTCTAATGTCCGTGGATCTTGGGGTAAGAACTGAAGTAGTAGAAAATGAACCTGGATAGGAACAGATAGTAAGATCAAATACAGTAGTACCTTGAAAGCCAGATGGAGGAATTCTGATTCCACTTCATATAGATGTGTGGTAACTGTTACGGAGTCTCAAGCAAGGTAATGACAAGATAAAAGTGGTGACTGTGGAAAGACTGATGATGGATTAGTGAAAGGGGCTAACATTGGGAACAAGATAAGTAGCTATAATTGAGAATGAAAGTGAAGCCCACATCGAAGAGGACAAGTATATATCTTTCAAAGAAATGTGTCAGAGGCCAGGCGTGGTGGCTCATGCCTGTAATCCCAGCATTTTGGGAGTCCAAGGCAGGCAGATCACCTGAGGTCAGGAGTTCAAGACCAGCCTGGCCAACATGGTGAAACCCCATCTCTACTAAAAAATACAAAAATTAGCCAGACATGGTGGTGCAAACCTGTAGTACCAGCTACTCAGGAGGCTGAGGAAGGAGAATTGCTTGAACCTGGGAGTTGGAGGTTGCAGTGAGCCAAGATTGTGTGCCACTGTACTCCAGCCTGGGCGACAGAGTGAGACTCTGCCTCCCCTCTACCCCCCCAAAAAAGAAAAAGAAAAAATATATGCGAATTTGATAATAAAGTTAATAAAGTTAGATTTTTAGATGTAAATGTGATGTTGAAGGAAGAGTAAAAGATGATGAAAGTTTTTTTTAGTGGGTGAAGAAAATGAAAAGGAAGAATGGAATTATTACTGAGCAAAACAGAGTACAGTCGTTGGCCAAAAAAAAAGGTTTATGAGAAATTCCATTTCAGGTTCAGATGATTCACCAGATAAGCAAAAAAAAAAAAAAAAAAGCAAAAGGTTTATGAGATGTGAAGTGATGATTAATTTTGAATTTAATGAGCCCAACAACATGAAAGTTTAACATCTTACAGGAAATTGGAAATGCAGGACTGGGATGCAGCTGTAATGGTCTGAAGACAGAGATTTAGGAGTCATATACAATAATTATTTTCCTATGTAGAATGAATGGTTTTCAGTGTCTGGTGCCACCCACTATTGGAACATGAGGGAAAAAAAGAATGAGCAAATGAACTGGAACTGTAAAAAGTAAGGAGGAGAAAAGCCCCCTAAAAAATGGAATGCCAGAAGAAACAAGGTCACAGAAAGTTTAGAAGAGTAAGGATGAACAAACTTGATGAACAAAGTATTTTTGGTTTTGGCAAAAACAGCGATCTTCAAAAGTGCGGGTTTTTTTTGTTTTGTTTTTTGAGATGCAGTTTCGCTCTTGTTGCCCAGGCTGGAGTGCAATGGTGCCATCTTGGCTCACTGCATCCTCTGCCTCCCAGGTTCAAGCGATTCTCCTGCTTCAGCCTACCGAGTAGCTGGGATTATAGGCACTCGCCACCATGCCTAGCTAATTTTTGTATTTTTAGTAGAGATGGGGTTTCACAATGTTGGCCAGGCTGGTCTTGACCACCTGACCTCAGGTGATCCTTGAAATATTTATTGGTAACTGGAGGCAATAGGTGTAGACCACATTTCCAGGAGATTGGTCTAAGAAGGAATTAGATGAATTGGATTTAAACACTGTTTTATTTTATTATACTTTAAGAGTTTGCAGAATGAAGAGTTTGTTACATAGGTATACATGTGCCATGGTAGTTTGCTACATTCATCACCCTGTCATCTACTTTAGGTGTTTATCCTAATGCTATCCCTCCCCAATCCCCCACTCCCTGCTACCCCTCCCCTAGCCCCCGACCCGACAGGCCCTGGTGTGTGATGTTCCCCTCCCTGTGTCCATGTGTTCTCATTGTTCAGCACCAACTTATGAGTGAGAACATGCAGTGTTTGGTTTTCTGTTCTTGGGTCAGTTTGCGGAAAATGATGGTGTCCAGCTTTATTCGTGTTCCCGCAAAGGACATGAACTCATCCTTTTTTATGGATGCATAGTATTCCATGGTGTATATTGGCCACATTTCCTTTATCCAGTCTATCATTGATGGGCATTTGGGTTGGTTCCAAGTCTTTGTTATTGTGAAAAGTGCTGTAATAAAAATGTGTGCATGTGTCTTTATAATAGAATGATTTATAACTCTTTTGGTATATACCCAATAATGGGATTGCTGGGTCAAATGGAATTTCTATTTCTAGATCCTTGAGGAATTGCCACATTGTTTTCCACAATGTTTGAACTAATTTACACTCCCACCAACAGTGTAAAAGTGTTCCTAATTCTCCACATTCTCTCCAGCATCTGTTGTCTCCTGCTGTTTTAATGATTGCCATTCTGACTGGTGGGAGATGGTATCTCAATATGGTTTTGACTTGCATTTCTCTAATGATCAGTGATGAGCTTTTTTTCATATGTTTGTTGGCTGCATAAATGTCTTCTTTTGAGAAGTATCTGTTCATATCTTTTGCCCACTTTTTGATGTTTTTTTTTTTTTCTTGTAAATTTGTTTAAGTTCTTCATAGATTCTGGATGTTAGCCCTTTGTCAGATGAATAGATTGCAAAATTTTTTTTCTCATTCTCTTGGTTGCCGGTTCACTCTAATAATAGTTTCTTTTGCTGTGCAGAAGTTCTTTAGTTTAATTAGATCCCATTTTTCTATTTTGCCTTTTGTTGCCATTGCTTTTGGTGTTTTAGTCATGAAGTCCTTGCCCATGCCTATGTCCTGAATGGTATTGCCTAGGTTTTCTTCTAGAGTTTTTATGGTATTAGGTTGTATGTTTAAATCTTTAATCCATCTGTAATTAATTTCTGTATAAAGCGTGAGGAAGAGATCCAGTTTCAGCTTTCTGCATATGACTAGCCAGTTTTCCCAATGCCATTTATTAAATAGGGAATCCTTTTCCCACTGCTTGTTTTTGTCAGGTTTGTCAAAGATCAGATGGTTGTAGATGTATGGCATTATTTCTGAGGCCTTTGTTCTGTTCTGTTGGTCGACATCTCTGTTTTGGTACTAGTATCATGCTGTTTTGATTACTGTAGACTTGTAGTATAGTTTGAAGTCAGGTAGCGTAATGCCTCCAGCTTTGTTCTTTTTCCTTAGGATTGTTTTGGCTATGTGG